TGGCGGACGCTCAGGGCCCCCTTCTGTGGGAAAGGCCCAGAGAGGCACATGTGGCTCCAGGCCGGGGAAGGCACGAGGCAGACACGGCGGTGGGTGCAGCTGGGAGCCTGGGTGCCGCCCGCAGGGTCTCAGGCCAAGCGGGGCCTGGTGGAGGCGGGTGCCATGATGGACCCTCCCTGCCCAGGAAAGGCGCTGATGTGCTCAGCTGTGCCCTAGTCAGAGGCCCAGAATTCAGGCAAAATAGACTTTTTGGGGGAAGGGGGGCTTTCCAAGCCCGGCTTGGGCGGGGAAGACTCTCCCAGCAGTGCCCTGCAGCCAGGCTGAGACTCTTCAAGCAGTGCTCTGCAGCTGGGCTGGCGCAGGGGTGGACTCTCCCAGCAGTGCTCTGCGGCCACGCTGGGGTGGCGCCATTCTCAATGCTGCTGCCCAGGAGTGCTCGGGCCGTGCCAGGAGCCGAACGGGCTCACGCACGTGCACAGCTCCTGGGCCCAGCAGGCCCAGATCCCGGAGTGTCTTTCTTGGGAGAATCACTTTGCTGCCGTCCAGAGGGTGGGCAGTGGTGCCGTGTGGCCTCCGGGCTCTGCAGTGCCCACCTGGGACCTGAGGAGGGGCGGTTTGGACAGTGGGCAGAGCCGGTGGGAGCCTGGCCCGAGAGCCCGTCGCCACTGAAGGTTCCTTCCTTCTCCTTCGGCTCCAGCTCTGGAGAAGAGCAGGAGGGGTGTGGGGGGTGGGGGGCTGGTCAGTGCCAGGTCTCGGCCTCTCCCCAACCCTGTCAACGCAAGGCCCGGGGGCGCAGCCGTGGGAGCAGCTTGAGCTGGGTCGGCAGCCCCCAGGTCGTGCCCATCGTGTCCCCAGACCCACGGGCTGGTTTCTTGATGGAAAAGCACCAGCCACGGGGCTCAGGCCGCCACTCACTGACCTTCCTGCCCTCACCCGAGGGCGCGGGCCAACGGCGCTTCCTGTCTGCTGGAGGCGGCTCTTGGCGCCCGCGGGTGAGGGGTGCGTCCCCCACCCTCCGCCGGCTCCCGGCAGCCCCCAAAGCTGGCCACTGGTCCGGCTCTCCAGGACCCCCCCCCCCCCCGGGCTCGCTGCAGGGGGTGTGGGCGGGGCAGAGGTCGGTGGGGGCTTTCGTGTCTGGGGCATTTCGTTGGGGGAGCGGAGCATGCGAGAGGCAGAGCCCAGAGGCGCTCGAGAGGCCAGGCGGGGACCCAGGGGCCGTGCAGGAAAGAGCCCCCCTGCGTGCCCGCTCACTGTACAGAAGCTGGGGCGGTTTCTGTGGTGTCGGTGAAAGCCGTGGTCTCGCGGGAGCCTCAAGTGCTCGCCCCGATTTCCCCTGGGCCTGTCTGTCGGCCACGGCCTCCTCCGGGTCCACCGGGAGCAGGCAGGCTGGCAGCCCCCGAGGGCAGGGAAACTGAGGCCCAGGGCCCGGTCCCTCCCCTTGGGGCTTAGCACTCCCTTGGACGCATCTGAGCCACGGGAGAGTGTGGCCCCTTGGAGACCCTCTGACTCACGGTCCCAGGCCCGGCCCAAGGCAGTGACACTCCCTGTAGCCTCTGCCCGTGGCTCTGGGGGCGCTGCCAGTCGTGTGCCCCCCCCCCTCTGTGCACACCCCCGTGTGCCCCCAATCTGTGCACGCCCCCCCACCCCTTCTGTGCGCTGCCGGCCTCATCCTCGCCCGGCCTCCGTCCTGACCCAGTCTCTGCCTCCCCTGACCTTCCCCCTTTCCAGCCTTCGGCCCTGAATCAGGGCTTTGTGTTTTTTGTTTAAAGTCTCCAATTTCTCCTGAAAATAAAGAGGCCCTAAATAAATGCTTGTTTCCTCCACTGTCAGACCAAATACGTTAAAGAAAGCAAGAAAGAGAAAACTAGTGAAAGGCAGAAAATTTCACGGGGGCCCAGAGGGACCAGACCCCGACACCACATGGGCGCGTCACCCCCGAGCACCAGCGGGAGGGCACCCCCCAAAGAGAAAGGACTTTGCCCTAAAATGTCCAACCCAGAGTAAATCGACACGGCGAGGCCGGACCTTCACAGCGCAGCCGGGGCCCCCACTCAGCCTACCCCGCACCGCCCGCTGAGCACTGCGGAATGAGCCGCCAGCCCCAGAGTGACGAAGCCCTTGAGCACACGTGGTGTGAGCCCAGAGCTGAAACCAAAACCGCAGCGATGGCCTCTGAGGAACAGGAGGCCGCCCGCCCGCCTGCCCCCGCACAGGGGTCTCAGGCCGCATCTGGGGGAGCCGCCAGCTTGGACTGGAGGTGTCAGTGGAGATGGACACACGCTGTGGCTGTGGCCCCCAGGCCCCGGGCCCTTCACTCGGGGCAGGCGCTCTTCTGGGGCTGAGTCTGGGGACCGAGAGCTTGGGCTGCACAGCAGGAGGCGTCCAGAGCTGGTCAGGACCAGTTTCCTGCCTGTGAGTGCGGGGAGCCCTCACCCGCCTGTCAGGTGCCACCGTCCTGCCAACCCTGCTGCTGTCAGCGCCTCCCCCCACAGGGAGCAGAAGGCAGGGAGGGGCTCCCAGCTCAGAGCGGCTGGGGGTGTCCACGGGGGGAGGGGCTGCGTGCCACGCCTTGCCCTAGGGGCTGCACCATGGCGGGGCGAAGGACCCCGCACTCACGGCTGTGTGAGGGCCAGGACGGCCCCCACGGCTCCAAGGGGAGCAGCACCCCCTGCCCCCCACGTCCTGCTGACCCAGACAGCACGACCTCGGCCGCGCCCCGACACCCCCACTGTCTCCCCGAATCTGGAGGCCCAACCCACAGGCCACCGTCCCAGATGGGGCCCCTTCCCCAGGCCCCAGACCAGACCAGGCAGGGTCCCCTCTGCTCAGGACGCCAGGGCTCGGCCCGGGGACACAGTGCGAGGGGAGGACTGTCCTGCGCCCACCCGGGGAGGGCATGGTCAGGGTCCAATCTCCGGCATCCCTCTGGTCCCCGAGCACTGCGGGCAGCGGCTCCTGCGAGCAGAGCCAGGAGGAAGCCCCGAGCATCGCTGGATGCAGAGCCGGGATGCTCTCCCTTCTGGGGCCGTCCGCCTGGACCCTCAGCCGCCACGTGTGCAGGTTCTGGAGACACAATCCCCCCAGGGCACAGGGGGCTGCGACCCCCGCACCCCCAGGCTCCCGCTGTCTCCCCACAGGGCACTTGCTGGAGGCGGTTTCCAGCTCGTGGGCGGCGCCACCTGCTGGCCAGTGGGACCACGACAGCTGGGCCAGCGGCACCTTCAGCCCCTGAGGAAATGCGGGCAGAGCCTGCGGGGTTTGCCTGCGGGGAAGGAGTCGGGACAGGCACAACCCCGGGAACAGCCTGGAGGCCCCCCAAGGGGGAGTGGGGGGCCGGACACAAGGCCGTGTGCTGTGGGCACAGTGGACACACGGACGGGCCCGGCTGCCCCTGCCCCTTCCTGCCCTCCCTGCCCCAGCAGCAGAAGCAGATTCGACCCCCAGCGGCCGGACGTCAGCACCAGGCTCAGCGCCAGCGCGGGCGATGGTCCCCGCTCCTGGGGGGACGCGGCAGCAAAGGCACCCGCCAAAGAGACGCGGCTGGGCACCAGCAAGGATGGACGCCCCCCCCCCCAGAACCCCGCAGCCTTCCAGCCCTCCCGTGAGGCTCCAAGCCACACCGACTGGGTGGACACCCTGTCCCCCAGCTGCGTCTGGGGGGCTCCACCCCCCCTTTGTGGCTGAGACTGACCCCAGGACACCATCAGGGTGCAGGTGAAGGCATCACACAGGGCTGGCAGCAGCAGGCCCCAAGAGGGCACACCCGAAGCCTTGTGAAGGGGCTGGATGGTGGGTGGATGAGGGTGGATGGGGGTGGATGGGGGGTGGAGGGTGGGTGATGGATGATGATTGGATGGATGGGTGGTGGGTGGAGAGAGGAAGGGCTGGAGGGCCTGCAGGAGAGAGCTGGGCGTATGGACTGGCCGAGGGGCTGGTATCAGCTGTGGTGGGAGGAAGGAGCCCAGCCCTCCCTGAAGAGCAGAGCCAGCACTGCCCCGAGCTCCTTCTCCAGTGCTCTTCTACAAGCCCCACCTCCTGGGCAGGATGGCAGCTCCTCCTCCTCCCTGTCAGTGACACAGAACACCACACTCTTGAGGGTCAGCCCTGCCACAGGGCTCCCCCGAGGGACACCCCACACATAGACCCCCCGACCGGGGGTCCCTGCTATGTCCACAGCCGTGGGGGAGGCCCCGGTGCATGCGGGACCCCACAAGGGGCCATTCCAGGGCTCCTGAGACAGACCCCACGTGTCCACTGGGGGGGGCGACAACCCGCAGCGACCAAGGGCAGCCGCATTGTTGGGGGTTGGGACACACCCCGCAGTGCTCAGGGGACCCGCAGGAGCCCAGTGGGGGGCGGGCCAGGCAAGCGCCCCCTGCGGTGAATTGTGTGAGCAGAACTAACCACCCAGCCACGTTCAGGTGCAGCCAGGGGAGCCGGGGGCCCCGATGTGGATGGGGGTGGGGGGCGTGGTCAGGACACCTCCTGGGCCCTCCGTGAGGCCCCCCTCTCCCTCCCGGCTCTGATCCTGCCACTCTGAGCCCGTCTGCGCATCCCCCTCCGAACTGGGTTCTCCCGAGCAGTATCAGGGCCCGAGGCCACAGGGCGACACTAGGCCAAGCTGGCAGGGGGTGCAATGGGCATCAGCCAGGCGGCCAGGGCGGCTCTGTTCCCACCCACACACTGTGGCCCAACCCAGATGGTCGGTCACCACAGGAGCGTCTGCCCCCTGCAGAGCAGCTGTGGACACGGCGCCGTGGTCGTGGTCGGGCCTGAAGGCTTGATGGGGACGCAGCCTGGATGACCAGAACCCCCTGCACACAGGCTCAGACGCTGAGATCGGCTGCCCCGGGGGGGGGGGGCGGAGAAGCAGCCAGTGGGGTCAGAAGTCAAAGGTCAGCCAATCCCGGGGGGCATCCCAGGTTTTGCAAATAGCGTTTATTGGAGAATTCAGGACAAACTCAAGATTCCCGGCTCGGCACGGTGACGCACTCCCGACGGCCGCTGTGAGGCGTGAGGTCTGGGGCCGTGTGTCGGCCGGCATTCCACGACAGTGGTGCTCCTGCTGGACCGAAGGTCCCAACGTCAAACCCAGAAGAAATGTCTGGAAGGCAGAGATGGGCATTGCCAGGAGGTACCCGCTGGGGAGCCCGAGACTCACCGGCGCTTCCCTGGGCGCCCGACACCAGCGTGCACCAGCCCAGAGCGGACGGGAGGCCTTGGAGAAGGCCCCACCCGCCAGAGGGAAGCCTGGGTCCGGCCGCCCAGATCCCCGTGTTCAGCCGCCCAGATCCCTGTGTCCAGCCGCCCGGCTCCTGTGTCCAGCCACCCAGATCCCCGTGTCCAGCCGCCCGGATCCCTGTGTCCAGCTGCCCGGCTCCCTGTGTTCAGCCGCCCAGATCCCCGTGTCCAGCCGCCCGGCTCCTGTGTCCAGCCGCCCAGATCCCCGTGTCCAGCCGCCCAGATCCCTGTGTCCAGCCGCCCAGATCCCCGTGTCCAGCCGCCCAGCTCCCGTGTCCAGCCGCCCAGATCCCCGTGTCCAGCCGCCCAGATCCCTGTGTCCAGCCGCCCAGATCCCCATGTCAAGCCGCCCAGATCCCCGTGTCCAGCCGCCCAGATCCCCGTGTCCAGCCGCCCAGCTCCCATGTCCAGCCGCCCAGATCCCCGTGTCCAGCCGCCTGGATCCACGTGTCCAGCTGCCCGGATCCCCATGTCTAGCCGCCCAGATCCCCGTGTCCAGCCGCCCAGATCCCCGTGTCCAGTCGCCCGGCTCCTGTGTCCAGCCGCCCAGATCCCCATGTCCAGCCACCCAGATCCCCGTGTCCAGCTGCCCCGGGTCGCAGCCACTCACCGCACGGCCAGGACGACGCGCAGCAGGGCCTGCAGGAGGGTCAGCAGGCTGAGGCTGAGGGGCAGCAGAGGGGCCCAGCCCGGGGCCTGCAGGGACCGCAGCTTCCGCCCCTTGAGCAGGAGGCGCGGGTCACAGCGGGTCCGCCAGCGGTTGCAGCAGGGCCAGGCGTCCGGGGGGCCATCTGCGGGGCGCGGGCAGCTCGGGGCCAGGCAGGCGTCGGGGCGGGCGTCACCTGGCCTGCCCTGGGCTCCTGCGGCCCCGCTCGGCACCTGGCCGGGAAGGACACAGGACGGGCCAGTGGGCTCTGCCGTCCCCCGGCACGGCCTGGGACCCTCTGAGGACAGGCGGGGGCGGCTGCACCCAGTGCCCGGCACCCACAGGTCCCCAGTGCAGAGCCGGGAGTGCACCCGAGCGTGGCAGGTGCGGCCCCAGCCCTAAACGCGTTTTCCAGAGGCTTCCTGATCCTGCCCACTGCGGGAAAAGCCGCTCTTACCTTCCGGGGGAACCTCAGGACGGACGGCACCCAGTAGGGCAGCACCGCCTGGTCCCGGGGAGCCGGGAAGCGCCCCCCGAAGTGGCGGCGGGGGCAGGAGCAGGCCCCGGCCACCTTCCAGACCTGGGGGGGAGCAGGCGGCTGCCGGGCGGGTCGCACGAGGGGCCCACGGTGCCCGGCCTGGCCCGTGCCCCGCTCCCAGCCGGAGACGCGCCCGAGAGGCCCCACCAGGCCTTCGCAGGCCCCCGATTCCCAAGCACCTGCGGGACAGTCCCCAATGGGCGGAGCCGAAGCAAGCTGCCCCCCTTCCGCCCTCCCTGGTCCAGCACTGGGCAGTGAACAAAAGAAGGAATGTTCCAGAAAGGGGGCAGGGGCTGGGGGAAACCGGGCTGGACAGCACCCTGACCCTGGCTCAGTGCGGGGAACTCAGCTGCCGTGGGGTGGTCCGGGGGAGGAGGCAGGCGCCCTCCCACCCCAGGGGTCTGCCCGCTCGGGGTCGCCAGGGACCCCCACGACCCTTGGGAGCCGCCACGGGGGCAGTGCTCGGGGGCTGCAGGCACCAGGCAGAGGGGCTGGACCTGCCCCTGCCCCCCACAGCCACCGCAGGGCACCGGCGCCACGCCGCCTACCTGCTGGCGGGGTCTCAGGGACACAGGGACCCAGTAAGGCAGCGCCACCTCGGCCCTGGGCACCGGCAGGCGGCCCCCGAACCCGCTGGGGCACCCACAGCCGACGGCCCTTCGCTCGGCGCTGCTGGGGTCAGGGCACACCTGAGCGAGAGCCAGAACAGACCCCAAGTCGCGCGGGCTGCTGGTCCCCAGAGGCAGCGGAACCCTGGGCCCGCGGAGATCAGACCAGGGGGAAACAAGCACGGCCACCCACGGGGACGGAGGGCCGGGGGCAGCGGCGCCTCCCAGCCTCACCCCACCCTGGCACTCTCGGGCAGCGAGGCCAGAGGAGCTCCCAGGCCTCCAGGGCACCCTTTGGCCGAATGCACAACCGCCCCAGACGCTCCCTGCTGCCACACCCCTGACTCCTGCACCCCTGACCCCACAACTCTGCACCTCGGACCCCACAATTCTGTCCTCCACACCCCTGCACCTCTGCACCCCACAACCCTCACACCTCTGCATCGCTGTACCCGCCCCCCGCCCCCCTTACCCCAGACACCCACACTGCCCTGTCCCACACCCCGCACCAACATCCCTTACCCCAAACACCCCCACACCCCGCCACGCCGGCCGCCTGGTCCCGACCTTGCCTTACCAGGGGGGCCTCGGGGCTGGGGTCCTTCCCTGGGGTCTGGCCTTTCCTAGAAGACCAGGAGATTCAGAAAGTTCCAGACTGACCGGCAGTGGGTGCTCAGAGCCGGGCAAGCCCCTCCTCAGACCGACCCCTCAACCCTGCACCTGTGGGGCCGGGCATCTTCGTTCCCGGACTGGGCCCTTTGTTCACCAAGAACCTTCCGGAACGCGAGTTGCAGGGACAAGCCCAGGGCCCGGAGGACACGCGGCCACCCGGGCAGGACGGGCTGTCCGGGGAGCTGCTCCTGCCCCCGCCCCCGGGAGGGCGAGGGGCCCTGGGGGGCAGGGGTCGCGGGGCGGTGGGGACACGGGGGTCAGGGAGATGCCAGGGCGGACAGGGGCTCGGGGACGAGGGGGCTTCTGTGGGGGACACGGGGGGACAGGCCGGGACGTGGGGGGACGTGGGGCCATGGGGATGCGGGGACCAGGGGCTGCGGGGGGAGGGACGGGGCACGGGGGTCGCAGGGGGACGCGGGGTGAGGGGCGGGGCACGGGGGTCGCAGGGGGACGCGGGGTGAGGGGCGGGGCACGGGGGTCGCAGGGGGTGTGTGGGGTGAGGGGCGGGGCACGGGGTCGCAGGGGAAGGTGGGGGTACGTGGGGCCGCGGCGGTGAGGCCGAGGGACCCCAGGCCTAGAGAACGGGGTGGGGGCGGGGGTGCGCCCGCGCCCCGCCCCTTCCGGCCCGCCCGCGCGCCGCTGATTGGCTCCGGCCCCGCCAATCGGCTGCTGCCTCCTCGCCACGTGACCCCACGGGCCCCGATCGGCCGGGCCGAGGCGTGCGCGGTGCGGGCGGCGCTGCCGGGAGCCGGGGTCGGGGTCGCGGGTCTGGGGTCGCGGGCCCGGGAGCGCCCACTCACCGTTTCCCGCGGAGGGGCCTGCGCTCCCCCGGGCCGGGGTCTCGGCGCGCGGGGCCGGCGCGCGGGGGGGGCGTCCCGCGCCGGGGCCGGGCCAGGTCCGCCTTCAGCGCGGCGCGGCGCCTCCCTGCAACGGGCCCGGTGCTGACCCGCCCGGTGCTGACCCGGTGCCGGCCCGCCCTCCCGGCCCTGCGCCCTCGCCCCGAGCGGCCTGCGCGACCCCGGCCCCCGCCCCCGCCGCCCCGGGCACGAGCGCCCCGACGGCCTCCCGCGCGACCCGACTCGGCGCCCGGACCCGCAGGGACCCGCAGGGACGTGCGGGGTGGCGCGGGCGCCGTCCGAGGGGCCCGAGCCGCGCCCCCACGCCGCCTCTCACTCCTTCCCGGGAGCGCCACGGGCTTCATGCTGCCCCCGCGGCCTCGCTCTGCTGCTGGCCCTTCCCCTCCTCGCTGGCCTGCACCGGGACACGCTGGGCTCTGCCCCCTCCAGTGGCCAGCGCCAGCCCGGGGGCATCGATCATGGCCAGGCCCTCTCCCGGTCACCAAGTGTCCTCACGGAGAACATGGAACGTTGGGGACAGAAGCTCCATGGAGACCGCTGGGCCCGCGAGGGCAGCAGGAAGCACCCATGCATGGGGGGGGCAGACACCCCCCAGAGGGGCCCGCGAGGGAGGCAGGAAGCACCCACTGCACCTGCCTGGTGGGGGGTGGGCAGACACCACCCACTGCCACAAGGTGCAAATTGAGCTCCCGGGAGCAGTTCGTGGGCGTCCCAAGACTGTCCCACAGGAAGGCTTGCCCTGGGAAAGGCTGTTCCCCCACTGGCCAGTGGCTGACCCCATGTCCCTCAGAGGGGACAGGGCACTGGGGACCCAGCCTTGAGGCGGGCCCAGTGGGGGGTGACACTCGGTACTGGCCACTCCCCGCTGGGGCCGTGCTTTGTGGTGCCGGACACAGGCGCTCAGACGTGCTGGAAGGCGGGGGGCACTTTTATTACAAGGTGAGGGGTTGTGTAGGACTCGCAGGGACCCTCCTGGCCCCTGCAGGAACCGCCAGGTCCTAGCTGGGTGCGTTAGCCCTGCCCACCCCACAGGGATGAGGCATGGCGGGCTCTCAGGGCCCAGCCCAGCCTGGCCACGCGCCCCTGCAGGTGTGGGGGACCCCCAGGGGCCTGACTGCACCACCACGGCACACGGGGCAGGAGCGGAGCTTGGTTCTGAAGCTGGAGGGCACGGCCGTGGCCTGTCACGCGTCCCCTTCCCTGGATGCGAGCCAGGGCGGAAAGTCTCCATCCACCACCCAAAGGGCCGGCTGCTCTGGGGCACGCGAGGACCCCGGCTCTGTCCCCGGCAAAAAAAAAAAAAAAAGTCTACCCAGGCAATGGCATAGAGCAGCGGAGCCTCCGACCCCGCCCGGGCTGCCCAGGCCTCCTCACTCTGCCTCTGGGCGGCCCCAGGCCACCAGCACGTGCACACACCCGAGCTCACACGCACACGTCCATGCATACTCACGCGTGCAGGCACATGTTCATGCATGCTCACGCGTGCAGCCACACGCGCGCACACACCCTCTCTGTAACGCCCAGGGGCGGGGTCCCTCGACAACGGGGCGACTCCGGCGCCCTGGGGCAGGACTCGCTCAGCAGTGCTCCCGGGCGCGCAGGCCCGAGGCGGGGGCGGGCCGGGGGTCAGGAGGCGAGCGCCTGGATGTTCTTGAGCATGTCCTCGAAGGCCTGCGGGGAGGGCGCGTCGGCGTGGCGGAAGGCCACCTGGACCCTGCTGTACAGGCTGAAGGACTTGAGCTCCAGCCAGAGGAAGCCGAAGCGGTCCTGGTCGAAGAGCACGAAGACGCCGGGCGTGCGCTCGGGGCTGGTGAAGCCGTGGCCGGCGATGAGGCCGGTGCCGTAGAAGCTGCGGGCGGGGCGGGGCGGTGAGCGGCGGGGACGGGGCGCGCCCCCCACCTCCAGGTCGCCCCGCGCCTCACCAGGCCCTGCAGGTGCGCGGGTAGCCGTCGTTCCTGGAGCTGACGCCGGCAGGCAGGACGAAGGGCTGGCCCTGGCCAGGGCCGGGCGGCGCGGGCGCGGGCGCGGGGCCGGGGTCCGGCGGGCGGGGGTCGTCCCCGGGCGCGCCCTGCTGCTGCTGCTGCTGCTGCTGGCGCACCTGCTCGCGCACCTCCAGGACCAGGCGGCTCAGCTCGCTGAAGCTGTGCTGCTGCTCCCCGCCCGGCAGCTGGATGCGGCGCGCCAGGTCCACCTCCACCGTCTGCTGCCCCGCGGGGATGTTGGGGTCGCCCTGGGGGCGGGGGGGATGAGCTCGGCCGCCGGGCATGCCCCCCAGCCCAGCGCAGCCAGCGCAGCCCAGCCCGGGACTCACCGTGACCTTGGTGCCGCGGGCCCGCTGCCCGTGGAAGCTGAGCATGACGATCTCCAGCCCGTGGCTGCCGTAGGTGCCTTTGAAGAGGCCGGGCGGGATGAGGTCGTCAGGGCGGCTGGGCGGGAGGTAGATGCGCCGGTAGGTCAGGCAGTTGCTGCGGGCGGGCGGGGCGGCAGGTGAGGGGCGACCCCGACAGGCCGGCCCGCCCGGGCGCCGCGGGGCCCGCGGGGCACTCACTCGTACTGGCTGGTGTAGATGAACTTCATGAGGATGAGCTCCTGCATGTGCTCGTGGAAGATGTCCTCCAGCGTGCGGCCCCACTCCTCGCGCAGCCACGTGCGGAACTCCTGCGAGGGCGGGGCCGGCCGGGCGGGGCGGGGTCAGCCAGAGCGGGGCGGAGCCAGCCTGGGCGGGTGGGCGGGGCCAGCCGGGCGGGGCCAACCAGAGCGGGTGGGCGGGGCCAGGCTGGACGGGTGGGCGAGGCTATCCGGGGCGGGGCGGGGTCAGCCAGAGCGGGTGGGCGGGGGCCAGCCGGAGTGGGGCGGGGCCAGTCAGAGCGGGTGGGCGGGGCCAGCCTGGACGGGTGGGCGAGGCTATCTGGGGTGGGGCGGGGTCTGCCAGAGTGGGTGGGCGTGGCCAGTCGGAGCGGGCGGGGCCAGCCGGGCGGGGCGGGGTCAACCAGAGCGGGTGGGCGGGGCCAGCCTGGACGGATGGGCGAGGCTATCCGGGGTGGGGCGGGGTCAGCCAGAGTGGGTGGGCGGGGCCAGTCGGAGCGGGCGGGGGCAGCCAGGGCAGGTGGGCGGGGCCAGCCGGAGTGGGGTGGGGCCAGTCAGAGCGGGTGGACGGGGCCAGCCCGGGAAGGGTGAGGTGGAGCGGGGTCAGCCTGGGCAGGTGGGCGGGGCCAACCGGGTGGGGCAGGGTCAGCCAGAGCGGGTGGACGGGGCCAGCCCGGGAAGGGTGAGGTGGAGCGGGGTCAGCCTGGGCTGGTGGGCGGGGCCAACCGGGTGGGGCAGGGTCAGCCAGAGCGGGTGGAGTGGAGCCAGCCTGGGCGGGTGGGCGAGGCTATCCGGGGTGGGGCGGGGTCAGCCAGAGTGGGTGGGCGGGGCCAGTCGGAGCGGGCGGGGTCAGCCAGGGCAGGTGGGCGGGGCCAGCCGGAGTGGGGTGGGGCCAGTCAGAGCGGGTGGACGGGGCCAGCCCGGGAAGGGTGAGGTGGAGCGGGGTCAGCCTGGGCAGGTGGGCGGGGCCAACCGGGTGGGGCAGGGTCAGCCAGAGCGGGTGGAGTGGAGCCAGCCTGGGCGGGTGGGCGAGGCTATCCGGGGTGGGGCGGGGTCAGCCAGAGTGGGTGGGCGGGGCCAGCCAGGGCAGGTGGGCGGGGCCAGCCGGAGTGGGGCGGGGCCAGTCAGAGCGGATGGACGGGGCCAGCCCGGGGAGGGTGAGGTGGAGCGGGGTCAGCCTGGGCAGGTGGGTGGGTCCAGCCGGGTGGGGCAGGGTCAGCCAGAGCGGGTGGAGCGGAGCCAGCCTGGGTGGGTGGGCGAGGCTATCCGGGGTGGGGCGAGGTCAGCCAGAGTGGGTGGGCGGGGACAGCCGGAGTGGAGCAGGGCCAGCCAGAGCGGCTGGGGCGGACCCAGCCTGGGCAGGTGGGGCTATCGGGGTGGGGCGGGATCAGCCTGGGAAGATGGGCGGGGCCAGCTGGGGAAGGGTGAGGTGGGGCGGAGCCAGCTGGGATAGGCGGGGCTGGCCAGAGTGGATGGGCGGAGCCAGCCTGGGCAGGGCTATCGGAATGGGCGGGGTCAGCCAGAGCAGGTGGGCGGGGCCAGCCGGAGTGGGGCGGGGCCAGCCAGAGCGGCTGGGGCGGACCCAGCCTGGGCAGGTGGGGCTATCCGGGGTGGGGCGGGATCAGCCTGGGAAGATGGGCGGGGCCAGCTGGGGAAGGGTGAGGTGGGGCTGGCCAGAGTGGATGGGCGGAGCCAGCCTGGGCAGGGCTATAGGAATGGGCGGGGTCAGCCAGAGCAGGTGGGCGGGGCCAGCAGGGGGTGTTCAGGTGGGGCGAGGCCAGCTGGGGTGGGGTGGGGTCAGTCGGGGCGGGGCTGGGGCTCACGAGTACTGCGTGGACACAGGCTCACCTCCTGCCTCCCGCCCGGCATCCTGTGGTGGTCAGTCTCATTGCACTTGGTAGAAAACTCGTCCTTCTTCACGATCTGGAGAAAAGGGCAGCTGGCTGGTCACCGTGCTGGACACCCGTGGCCAGCCCAGCAGGAGCAGCAGGAGGGCTGGCGTTCAAGCATGTACCCCCAACAGAGGAGGACAAGGAGCCGTCTGGGCATCCCCTCGCCCGCGGGGTGTCCATCGGCCAGAGCCAAGCTGAGGCTGGGCCGCCTGTCCAGGACCAGAGAAGAGCTGAGTGCGGGGCCGGGCAGCGGCTCTCACCTGGATGTGGCCGTTGTGCGGCCCGTGGTGGCCGTACATGCACTCCACGGTGGCCCCCTTCTGCTCCACCAGGTGGATCCTGAACAAGGGCTTGAAGCGCATGGGGTCGTCCACGTGGGGGTCATGGGGCGGCAGGTACATCCAGCCGACGATGACCACGCCGTCCACCTGGGCCGGCACAAGGGCGAGCACGCGGGTTCCGGGGGCAGTGGGGGGCCCACGCCAGTGGGGATCGAGCAGCCCCCCAGCCCCTCCTCTGGGAAACGCTGAGCACACAGGTGCCCCCGAAGATGGGGGGAAGGGGGCCGGGGCGACAGGACAGAGGGGCACCTGCCTTGCGCGCACCCACCCAGGGTCTGTTCCCAGCACCCACACGGTCCCCCGAGCACCGCCAGGAGTGATTCCTAAGTGCAGAGCCAGGAGGAGCCCCGGGCATCGCCAGGTGCGGCCCCAAGTCAGAAAGAAAGAAGGAGGGGTAGCAGGCGCCTCCCGCCAGGCCGATATCGGGGAGCTCGGCCAACGCACTCACTGGCGCACACGGGCCCCCAGGGAGCTCTGTGCGCCCGCTCCTGGCCTCCGGGAAGCAGTGCTGGGGCTCACAGGGCCTCAAGTATGGGGCCACTCCGAGTGCAGGCCAGAGGCCCGGCTACAGGCGCTAGGCCCCAGGGTGGGCTCCGAGCACTGCTCAAGCACCCTGTAAGCTGGGACTAAACGCTGGGTGGCTGCTGGCCTGGTGGTTCCTGTGGGCCACCACGTCCCGGCTGTCCCAGCACAGAGAAGGGTCGGACGTGAGGATGGGCGCCAGCCCCACCTGTCCCCGAGGCGGCTGGACTATCCTGCCGCTCCGCCCCGTTCACTGCGAGCCCAGCGCCTTGGGCCAAACGCCAAGCACCGATGCGGCGGGTGTGCTGGCCACAGGCCCCCTCGAGCCCGTGGTGGGTTCGCAGCACCCAAACCTGCGCGTTCCTGGGGCTCGTGCCTGAGGGGGCGACCCAGACACGGAGCAGCGAGGGCCCAGCACTCACCACCACGTTGAGCAGCCCCCCATACGGCCCGATGTCCGGCTGCCACAGCCCCAGGATGTGTCGGTAGCGGTGGAGCACTGAGGAGAGAGTACCAGGCAGAGTGGCTGGAGCGTGTCGGCAGGCTGTCCAGGCGCTGGCCCTGCTCCTGCCATGCGGCCCCAGGTGTGGCCCCAAACAAGCCAAGCAGGACAGACAGGCCTCTCCAGAGCAGGATGGCAGCGGGCGGGCCTCCGTCCACCCTCACAGCCCAGGGCTCCGCACACCAACTCCAGGGACGAAGCCTGCAAGGACCTCCCTGTCACAGGCCCCGCGCGCCACAGCCCAGACGACACGAGAGTGACTGGCAGACAGAGTCAGTGGGCACCTCTCCAGGGGGCTAGCAGCGCCCCAGGGCCGACCAGCCCAGGAAGCAGGAACCAAGGACGCTGCCCGCAGCCTCGGGGACACACGAGCCCAGCCAAGCTGGGCCCAGCAGGACGTGTCCTGGTCCAGGAGCGGCTCTCCCGCTGGGACGCAATGGCCAGCACTGTCCTCAGAAGCCCTGCGGGGCCCGGGACAGCAGGGTGCTGGGTGGGGGCTCAGGCAGGACTGCCCCTCACCCGGGCACCCTGATCGGGCCCAGGAACCCAGGAGTGTGCGTGCGGGAAGGCCAGAGGAAGGGGGCTGAGTGCAGAGGGGCCCTGCCAGGCGGGGGTGGGGCGGCCCTTCTCAGTCCTGGGTCTCCCTGACCCCAACAGTCCATGCCTGGGCTCCAGCCAGTGGGACAGGGGTGCCCCCAAGAGGCCACTCCTCAGCCTCAGGCCAGCCAGCACCTGTGGGTGCCTCGCACAGCCACCACCCGTCCCTCTAGCTCAGTGTGGCTGATACCCTCCCCCCCCTCGCCCCCGCGGGGCGGTGCTGGGGCCTGGGGTGTCGGGGAGGTGCCAAGTCTCTGCTCTGACTTTCTGGCTCACGCCGGTGCCCGCAGGAGGCTGACTTGGCCCCAGGGGCCGGACCTGAGCTCCCGAACTGTGTTTTGCTGTGGACACAAGAACCCATGGCTGGGCCAGCACCCTGGCAGCCCCCAGGAAGCGCCGCTGTTCCCATGTGGGGTCGCCCCTTGTGGGCACATCTGTACTCACGCTTAGCATAGACGTCCCTGCAGGACACGCCCGCGGCCTCCAGCCCCCGTGGGTCCTCGCACGCGCCGTACTCTGCATGGAAGAAGCGTTGGCTGGCATGAGTGCGCAGGCGACCCCCAGCCACGCTGGGCAGCACAGGGCTCCTGCCCGGCCGAGACCACCCCACCTCGGCTCCTGGCACACCGCCCAGACCCTCAGGGAAGACCTCAGCCTGTGGGGGGAGCGGGACACGGGACTGGACTCCCCACACACTGGTCAGTGTCGTGGGGGAGGGCGGGTGAGCTGGGCCCAGAGCAGCTGCAGACAAAGGCCCTTCAGGAGAGCCCCGGGTGGGGGAGGGCGTGGGGGCCGGGCATTCGGGGCTCTGACGGGCTCTGGGCAGACGGAACATTCTAGGGACTATGAAGACCCCACAATGGGCTGCACTCGCTACCGTGGCGGTCAGTAAGAAGGCCGCCTCGGAAGCCGCGGCCACGGGCACCGAGAGGGCCGCGCGGGGAGGGCAATGGCGGGGGATGGACGTGGGGCCCAGCACTGCCTGCCACGGAGGTACCCGGCCCCCGCCACACACACACACACACACACACACACACACGGTGTCCGTGCATATACATGAGGATGCCCACATGTACGCACACACGTACGCACACACACACACAGAGGGCACTTGCACACACACGCGTACACACACACACACACACAGTGCTCTTCCCTTCTGAGGAGCCTAATGCTGTGGGGGACAGCAGGAAGGCCAGCAGGCCAGGGCGGTGACACCCAGAGGAGCACCTGGGCACCCCCAGTGAAGGACATGGGCACTGGGGGCACCCAGAACCTGCACGTGCCGCAGACCCCCAAACACCCAGAAGATATTCAAGAACATGGGCCAGCACGGGGGGCTGGATGGCCGTGCTGTCCACACAGCACTGGGGGGGACAAGGCCGCTCCCCTGGACACTCAGTCCGCCCAAGAGGCACCCAGAGGCACCCTGGGGAGGCAGCACCCTCCCACACCTCGAACAGAGTGGAGCCCCGTGCAGACAGCAGCAGGAAAGCAGTGAGGGGACCCACGCACACCCACAGGGTCCCGGTGGGAGGTGGAGCTGGAGGCAGGGACCCAGTGTGGTGGGGGGGGGGCTTGCACACAGCTAGCCCAGAGGCCCCAAAGCATCACCAGGAGTTGGCCCCGAGCACAGAGCCGGCAGTCAGCCCCGAGCACAGAGCCGGGAGTCGGCCCCGAGCACAGAGCCGGGAGTCAGCCCTGGCACAGCTGGGTGCGGCTCCAAAACAAACCACAGAAAGGATGCCAGGTCCCCGCAGGGCAGCAGGGCCTGCTCTCGGCCAGAGGTGCCCCCTCCCACCAGCAGCGCAGGCCAGGGGGGCAAGTCCAGCGGCCACCCCAGGACACCACAGCAGCCCAGACCCAGACAGGTGCCAGCCCACAGAAGGATGTGCTCCTGCGCCCGCCCATGACCAGGAGACGGGGAAGGGGCACGCAGGCAGGGGAGCACCGGCCTCCCTCTCTCCTCCTCTCCCTCCCTCCCTCCTTTCCTTCCTCCCTCCTCCCCTCCTCTCAGAAAATCTGCTTTTGGGCCACAAACCAGATGCTCAGGGCTCACTCTTGGTTCGATCCCTAAAGACCACGCAGGGCGGCCACGGGCAACACTACGCTCTGGCCGGCGGACGACATCCGCGAAAAGGGACTTCAGCCCCTTCGGAGTGACTCGCTGTGGGGCTGAGATGGGGGGGGGGGGGGTGGGCGTGTGCCTTGCATGCCGCTGACCCACACAGGCTTGGTCCCTGGCACCGCAGGGTTCCCTGAGCCTGCCCTGCTGGGTGTGCCCACCCTCCGAAAGCGACATGCAATCAAGATATGATGTGCATGGTGCTCCCTGGGTCCCGCCAAGCCGACCCGCTGCCGCCGCAGAGGCTGGGCCGGACTAGGCCTCGTCAGCCTTGGGTGGATGCCAGCACGCCAGGAGTGCCGCGCAGGAGCCAGGGAAAGCGGCTCCGGGTCAAGGGGCAGGTGCCCAGCACCCCTCCCAGTGACCGTGACTTATCACTGGCCCTGCCAGCGCGCTGGGAGGGCGCCACAGCTCCTCTGCCCTGGACAGGGCCCGGCCCGCGGGACCAGGGGACTTGCCCAGAGCTCGGGGTCTGCTCTCCCCGGACCACACCAGGGGCTCGACCGACAGGACAGCGGGGAGGGCGTTTGCCTTGCATGCAGCCGGCCCGGGTTCGATCCCGGCATCCTCTACGGTCTCCCAAGCACCGCCAGGAGTGACCCCGAGCATCGCAAAACACAAAAATTCGAAAGCCACGAGGCCGGCTCTGCTGATTCACTCCGGCCGGGACCACCGCCGGCCCTGCCCAGCGGCCTGTCCCCGTGGCCCCAAGCACAGCAACCCCACGCAGGGCCAGCAAGCGCCCGGCCGGGAGCCCGCAGGGTGGACGAGGCGGGGGGCCGGGGCCGGGACGCGGAAGCCGCGCTGCCCGAGTCTCGGGCCGAGGCCGCGGCCCCTCCCGGAGCACCGCGCGCCGAGTCGCAGGCCCTGAGCCCGCGGGTCCTGGCGGCCGGCCAGGGAGCGGGGCGCTGCAGCAGCGCGGGGCGCCGCGGGAGGGGGTCCCCGGGGCGCGCGTGCAGGGCGGGGCCGGGCCGGGAGTGCGGGCCGCGGGCCGGGCGGGGCCTCACCCACCCTCGCGGCAGCGGCGCCTCCAGATGGTGTCGGTGCGCAGCAGCCGCCGGAAGCGCGAGCAGACCTGGGCCAGGCGCGGCAGGTCGGGCCCGGGCAGCGCCGCGAAGATCTCCACCAGCAGCTCGGGCGGCAGCTCCAGCAGCGAGCGGCGCGAGCCCGCCGCGGGGCCCGCCTCGATGCGCTCCTCCTCGGGGTCCGTGTCCGGCCCGCTGTCGGCCGCCGCGGGCTCGGCCGCGTCCCGCCGCTGCTGCCGCCGCCGGCATCCCCGCGCCGGCCCGACGCCGCAGAGCCGCGCGCACACCGCCATGCCGCCGCTGACGGCCGCCCGCCTCTGCGCACGCGCGCGCGCGGCCCCGCCCCCCGCCGCCGGCCCCGCCCCTCGGGCGCCGCGGCACGCCCCGGGCGGCCGGGACACGCCCCCGGGGGGAGAATCACGCCCCTCGGGAATCGTGATACGCCCCGGACAGCCGGGACACGCCCCTTGGAGGATAGCCACGCCCCTCGGGAGCCGTGATATGCCCCGGACGGCCGGGACACGCCCCTCGGGAGCGGCGGCACGCCCCCGACGGCAGGGACACGCCCCTTGGGGATGGCCACGCCCCTCGGGAGCAGCGATACGCCCCGGACGGCCGGGACACGCCCCTCGGGGAATAGCCACGCCCCTAGAGAATCTGTTACGCCCCGGGCGTTCGGGACACACCCCTCGGGGAATAGCCACGCCCCTTGGGAGCAGCGGCACGCCCCGGACGGTCGGGACACGCCCCTGGGGGAAAGCCACGCCCCTCGGGAATCGTGATACGCCCCGGACAGCCGGGAGATGCCCCTTGGAGGATAGCCACGCCCCTCAGGAGCCGTGATATGCCCCGGACGGCCGGGACACGCCCCTCGGGAGCGGCGGCACGCCCCCGACGGCAGGGACACGCCCCTTGGGGATGGCCACGCCCCTCGGGAGCAGCGATACGCCCCGGACGGCCGGGACACGCCCCTCGGGGAATAGCCACGCCCCTAGAGAATCTGTTACGCCCCGGGCGTTCGGGACACACCCCTCGGGGAATAGCCACGCCCCTTGGGAGCAGCGGCACGCCCCGGACGGTCGGGACACGCCCCTGGGGGAAAGCCACGCCCCTCGGGAATCGTGATACGCCCCGGACAGCCGGGAGATGCCCCTTGGAGGATAGCCACGCCCCTCAGGAGCCGTGATATGCCCCGGACGGCCGGGACACGCCCCTCGGGAGCGGCGGCACGCCCCGGACGGCCGGGACACGCCCCTTGGGGATGGCCACGCCCCTCGGGAGCAGCGATACGCCCCGGACGGCCGGGACACGCCCCTGGGGGAAAGCCACGCCCTCGGGAATCGTGATACGCCCCGGACAGCCGGGACACGCCCCTCGGGAGCGGCGGCACGCCCCCGACGGCCGGGACACGCCCCTTGGGGATGGCCACGCCCCTCGGGAGCAGCGATACGCCCCGGACGGCCGGGACACGCCCCTGGGGGAAAGCCACGCCCTCGGGAATCGTGATACGCCCCGGACAGCCGGGACACGCCCCTCGGGAGCGGCGGCACGCCCCCGACGGCCGGGACACGCCCCTTGGGGATGGCCACGCCCCTCGGGAGCAGCGATACGCCCCGGACGGCCGGGACACGCCCCAAACGAGAGAGACACAGGAGCAGAGAGCGCACAGTCGAGGCGCACACGCGAGGGACGAGCCCCGCCTCTGCAGAGGAAGAAGAGGTGCGCCGGCCCCACCCACAGAGAGCACCATGCCCCTGTCCCGCTGACCCCTGTGCTGCGGAACTTGCGCAGGGCAGTCACCCTCAAGTCAGGAGGCCGCCCCTCTCCGGGCAGACGCGTGCGCGAGACCGCCAACCCTGGGTAATTCGAAGACCATCCCAGACCATCCCAGAGGATCAACCCTAGGATCAATCCTTAGGCGTCCCCCCAGCCCCCAGGATGCCTATAGACCCCCTCCCATCCTGAGGACTCCGGGAGGGCGCTGCAGAAAGGCTGCCTCACGTGATCAGAGGAATGGTGCAAACGTTTTCTTTCTGGGGCCACGCCCACTGGTACTTAGGCTCAAATCTCGTGTCAGTGCTCTGGGGCACCTGATTCCTGCCGAGCAGAGCACCACACCCTTCTGACACCCACACTGCCCAGCAGTCCTGCTCTGACCTCCAGAGGGAGGGGCCTCCCTTCCCAGCTGGTTCCCGGGGGCTGCAGCGCTGACTGCCCCAGGGGGTGAGAGAAGCACCTGCCGACGAGTTCCCAGGCACAGAGGCCCAGGGAATTCTGCCTGGTGATGCCTGGGCTCCGGGAATACATCCGCCACTGGAGTGTGTGGTGGCACGGCCTTGCCAGTTGGTCACGGCCTTCCTCGCCACAAAGCAGACCTGGAATGTGGCTCGTGCTCTGCACCTGGAGGCTCTGGGCTCCGCTCTGCACCGCCGCTTCTCCCCCTCCGAGCTCCTTCATCCGCCACAGACAGTCACTGGTCGTCCTGCCCCAGTCTGCAGAGCTGGGAACCTCAGAACCCCTCCCGCCCCCACGGGCACTGCAGGCTCACCAGGCAACTGGAGAGGCTCAGGGCCCCCGCACCGGGATGCCCACTCACAAGTCCACGCGGCACACAAGACCTGGGCCTGCGCAGCTGGAAGGGGCAGCTGCTGCCTTGTCCCCCCAGCCCTGAGTCCTGAGCAAGCAGAAGACAGAAGATACATCTGTGACACAGGAACGATGAAGCCGGCCTGCACTCCCAGCTCCAGATGCCACCCCGCACCCTCCTGTCTCATGTTTGTCCCATCTGTCCCGTGCTGTTCCCAGAAGTCACACATGAGCTGGCCATCGCGTGACTCTTCATCACGTCACACTCAGGTCTGGCCGCATTGCTGACCCGTCCACCTCCACCCAGCTGCCACCTGATTCCTTCACCAGGACTCACCCTGGCTAGTCACCCTCCGCCGCCTCCCGCTCTGTGCCACTGATGGTAACTGGTACCTTCCTTTTAGAACAAAAGTCAACAACTGCCACCTTCCTCCCGGCCAGAGCAGACCTTGGGGGAGGATGGTCTCTCAGAGAGGGATGTTTCTGCCTGTTCTGGGGCCACACCGAGGAGCGCGCAGCTCTGACTCCAGGCTCTGGGCTCAGGGGCCATCTTAGCAGTGCTCAGAGGACCCTATGCCCGCCCGGTCCTCGGTGTGCCAGGCTGCCACTGTCCTACAGCTCCAGCGCCAAGGCGGCCCCCTGTTGTCACGCACCACACTCACAACAGGCATTCTGGCACCTGGTGTGCCAACAAGCCGTGCAGTAGAAGCCTGACTCAGTGTGTGTTGAAACAGAAGGTTTTATTTTTTTTTCTCGGCAATTCAAAGGATTTAATAAAAGTTCAAGATTCATGTGACAAATGACCAAGATTTTGTCAAGAGTTCGACTTTCGCCTTCTCCCCCATTTATCTTGTTTCGTCTCGAGCACTTCCCCCGATTCCTCCCCCCTCTCCCCGCGTGCAGGTACACACACACACACACACACACACACACACACACACATTTTCTGGTCTATGATTACATGAACAGATCCCACTGTGATTTAGAAAACTTATGTCTACGTAAGCTACGTGGTTACCACCAATTTTTTAATATGCCCTTTCACTTGGCCAACATGTGCTTAATCTATGACCCTTGCCCCGTCCTTAAGCATACTTTTAAATGTCCGTCACCCTGGAGAGGCAGAGCATTTTATTTTCTAGTTTCCCTTGTTCCCAGACACATCTTAGTGAAGTTTTGGAATTCTCAGGATAAAGAGAAAATCTTACAGATTTCCAGAGAGAGGCTTTCTTACGGCTTTCTGTAGAGCAACAAGAATCCGGCCGGCAGCTGACTTACCACTGGCCACTCTGGATGCCAGGAGCAAATGGGCCAACATCCTACCAGCTCTACAGGAAGGAGAATTTAAGCCTAGAATCCTCTACCCCGCCAAACTGGCATTTAATTTTGAAGGCAAAAACGAAGATCTTTTTTTATTTTGAAGAATTCAAAGACTTTGGGGGTATGGTGCTGCCAGCAGGTCAATCTGTACCTGTGAGGTGAGTGCATCAGCAGCCTGATGGCGCCTTCAGACTTCCAGATACCCCAAAATTGCTGCTGTGCCTTTGGCCAGACCCCAAAAGCTTGGGGAAAAGTTTACCAAGAAACCACCTCTGACTCAGCTATCTAATTAGAGGCATGGCCTTTGTGGTTCCTGATCAAACTGCTTAACGGCCATGATCCCAGAGACTAAGAAACAAATCTCCGAAACCCAATGGCTTTTGGCAGAAATGTGTCTGGTCCCTGAATTAGGTTACTGGCACTGGGCCAACCCAGATGGGAATAGGTTTCATTCCTTGGCCTGTTCCCCCTTGCGGCCCAGTGGCCGCCATCCTCCAGAGGCCACTGGACAGTCAGATTTGGGCCTGCAGTGACGAGACATGCAGGGTCTCATAGGATGGGGGTGGAGTCTGCCCTTTCCTCCCCATCCCAACTAGACCCCAAGTCGCCGCCCACAAACGGCCTCTCTGGCTCCTGATCAAGCCGCTTAACAGCCATGATCCCGGAGACTCAGAAACAAATCTCAAAACCCAGCGACTTTTGCAGAAATGCGTCCGGTCCCTGCAGTTGGTTATTGTTGCCGGGCCACCCCAGGGGGGAAAGGGGGTTGTCCCTTCGCCTGCTCCCCCTTGGGGGTTCGGTGGCTGCCATCCTCCAGAGGCCACTGGACAGGTTTGGGCCCGCAGTGACCAGACACGCAGGGCCTCAGGGGATGGGGGTGGAGCCAGCCCTTTCCTCCCCACCCCAGTGAGACCCTGAGTTGCCGCCCACGAACGGCCTCTCTGGCTCCTGATCAAGCTGCTTAACGGCCATGATCCCAGAGACTCAGAAACAAATCTCGGAACCCAGAAGGTTTTGGCAGAAATCCCTCCAGATTTAATTGTTAAAATTTCGGAATCCTAAAATTGCACGGCCACCACTGTGGCTGCGTGACGTCATATGTTATTCATAATCAGCAATAGAAAACAAATTGTCTTCGGTTCCCAGATCTGAGTATTGGGGTAAAATCCCAAATAATAATGGTGAGTCTGGTGTCAAAATATTGAATGTGATCAAAGTAGAGAGAGAGTAATGTGGAAATCATCTACCCCACAGGTAGGAGGAGGGTGTGGGTTGGGGGTGTAGGGGTTTTGGGTGGTGGAGAATGGGCACTGGTGAAGGTACAGGTGTTTCGGTGTATAACTGAGACTTGAACCCGAAAGCTTTGTAACTGCTCTCATGGTGATTAAATAAATAAAATTATAAAAAATAAAAGTAAGGTGGAGTTCATGCCTAATTCAATCAGCCTAATCAGTGGCTGAATAAATAGCGGTACTCCTACATTAAAAAAAAAAAACTCAGAGACTTTATTTTTTGCATACCCTCTTTAAAAGGATTACTGGAGAACATACTTTAGCAGTTGAGAATGACTCTAAACACTTAAATTTCTGTTTCCCTTCCATGCGCCCAAAAAATAAGGTTTTATTTTTTTAAGCTAAATTAAAAAAAAAAACCCAATGCTACATGTAGGGATGAAGCAATAATACAGCGGGGAGGGCTTCTCCCTGCAAATGGCCGACCTGGGTTTAGTCCCTGACATCCCATATGGCTCTCTCCGAGCCCTGCTAGGAGTAATTCCCGAGTGCAGAGCCTGGAGTGATTCCTGAGCAGTGCCAGGTGTGAGCCCCAACCCCCCCCAAAAAAAAATCCACAACTTTAAATGTTCACTAAGTGAAAATTAAAACCAAAAATCAGGGGCTGGAGTGATAGCACAGCAGGTAGGGCAGGTAGGGCATTTGCCTTACATGCGGCTCAACCCGGGTTCGATTCCCAGCATCCCATATGATCCCCCAAACATAGCCAGGAGTAATTCTGAGTGCATGAACCAGAAGTAACCCCTGTGCATCGCTGGGTGTGATCCAAAAAGAAAATAAATAAATAAATAAATAAATAAAAATAAAACCAAAAATCAAAAGAGGACTTAAAAGGCAAGGCAGAAAGGCTGGAGCAATAGAACAGTGGGTAAGACGCTTGTCCCACACGTGCCTAGGATCATTCCTGGCCCCCATATGCCCTCCGGAGCCCCGCCAGGAGTGATCCCTGGACACAGAACCCAGAGCAGGCCCAAAACACCATTGGGTGTGTCCCCAACACCAAGTATAAGTAAACGTAAACAAAAGGCAAGGACCAGAAAGAGTTGCCTTGGAGAACTGCAGGCCCAGCCGGCCCTTGCCCAGGCTGGAGCGAGGCTGGGAGGGTCTGGGTGGGCCAAGACCCGGCAGACTCAACCCGGAAACTGCTAGTTTCGTCCTGATTCTGAGCCAGGCACGAAAAAGAACTAAAGCCCAGTTTTCTCCTGGAAGAGCTTCCCTCCAGGGACAACGCACGCGTGGGTAGTGGCCGCCAGTGTGTGAATGGCCACGCCAGTCCCTGCCACCACGCGGTCCCTGGGCACGCACCAGGGGGAACCCAGGTGTCCCACCCCCCCAATAAGAAATGCGGCCTAATCTCCCTCCGGACACCAGCGGCCAAACTGTCCTCTCTGCCGGACTGCCGGGGCTTCTGGGGCACCCCCGGGACTGTGCTGAGAGGCACCAGGGCCAGCCCTGACAGTGCCCGCGACGGGGCCAAGGGCAGCACGGCAGGACAAGCGCTCTGGGCCCCCAGCCCGGGGGTCGCCCCAGGAAGGCGTGGGTCCGCGCGGAGCCCGGGGAGGGGCGCGGCCGAGTGGTGGGGGTCGTCGGGTGCCCGAAACCTGCACCCCCAGGAGCGCGCCTGGCGGGCGGGGGCCAGGGTGGACAGGGCGGACAGGGCAGCGGCTCCGGAGGCCCCTCCAGCGCCGAGGCCGAGGCCAGCAGGGCCGCGGCCTCCTCTCCAGCTGACCAGGCCCTGCCCGCCGGGCTCGGGGCTACGCCGGGATGCGCGCGCGACAGGCAGGGACGGAGCCGGGCGGGGGACCGAGGCCCAGCGAGGATGCCCAGTGCCCAAGGACACCAGGAGGGGCCCCAGGCTCCGAGCCCGGGGCGCGCCCCTAAGCTGCAAACTCACGGGCCGGACCGCCGGCCGCGACCCGGGCGGAGCCGGAGCCGAGCCCCTACAGCCCCGCCGAGCGCGCGCCCGCGAGCCCCCAGTCCCCGCGCGGCCCCGCGGCGGCCAGCGCCCGGCCACTCGCGCTTGTTTACTTGTTCCGAAGCGCAGAGCGACGACGCGGGATTGACGGGGCGCCCGACCAATCGGAAGCGCGGGCCGCGAGGCGGGCGGGGCCGCTCCCCCAATCAGCCGGCGGGGGCGGGGCCGGGGGGGGGGGCCGGCGGCTCCGGCCATGCTGGGTGTGGCGGGCGGGCGCGACCTCCCAGGGGCGCGTCCCGGGGGCGTGGCAGGCGCCTGGGCCCGGGGGAGCTCCTGTCCGCGGTGCTCGGGGCCTCCCCGCTGCACCTTGGGGAGCTGCGGTGTGGGCCGGGCATTCGCTCCCGCCTGAGTCACCTTCCCCGGCCCTGCCGTCGCCTGGGCCACTCCCCGCAGTGCTCAGGGACCCCCGGGCCGCCGCGTGCAGGGCAAGCCCCCTCCGGCGCCGGCTGCTTTGGCGGGTCTGGGGGCCGCGCCCGGTGACGCCCGGGGCTGACTCCTGGCTCTGAGCGCCCGGGTCACTCCCGGTGGGGCCGGGCCACGTGGGGAGGACCCGGGGCACCGGGAGGCAGTAGATCATGCACGTGACACGCATCACCCCGTGGACACGCTGTCCTCGGCAAGATTTTATTTAGGAATCTGGAGGGAGGGAGGGGGAGGGGGCCTGGGCCTCTCCCGGGGGCGGCGTGGGCGTGTGCGCGGGCCCTCTCCGGGCTTGCTTGGTGGTGCTCGCGGGGCAGTGCTCTTCGCCCGGGCGCCCCCAGCAGGCTGGTGAGACCGACACGCGGGAACAGGACACGCGGGAACAGGACGCGGTCGAGCGTTAGACACTCAGCTGGGGGGGGGGGACAGCCGCTGTGACTTGGGGGCCCGGGCCCGTCGGTGCCTCCTGCGCTCCCGACACCCTGATCCCTGGGCGCCTGGGGGCGGGAGCAGGACCCTCCCCCACCCCAGACGCCCGCACCCGGCTCTGCCCCTGCAGCCAGAACGTTTCAGGCGGAACAAAAAGCTCCGTTCTGGCGAAGCAGCAATTACGCAAACTCGCGGCGCCCCTGCCAGCGCGCGGGGGGTGGGGGGCGGGCGGACGCCCGGAGGGTCCCACGCCCATCCCTGTTTCCCAGCAGGTACTTAGTGAAGCACTCGCCGGGCTCGGGTGGCGCTCAGTCCCTAGAGAACAAATGCAGCATAACGGGCGAGGGCGCACGTTCGGGGCGGACCGGCTTCCTCTGGGCCTTGGTGTAGCCGGAGAGAGCTCAGGGGAGGAGGAGGGAGGGTGGGAAGAGGGGGAGGGGGAGGGGGAGAGGGGAAGGGGGGAGGGGGACGGAGGGGAGGCGCGGGGCTGCGGCAGCGGGACCCCGGGAGCCGCCCCGCCCACGCGAGGCCCGGTCGGCTCCGTGGGGCGGCGCGGCCCGGGGCGGGGCGCAGCGACGGCGTCGGACTCTGGGCCGATGCCCCGCCCCCGGAGCGGCGCGGCGGGAGTGCGCACGCGCGCCGGCCCGGCCCCGCCCACGTCGCGGCCCCGCCCGCTTCCGCCACGCCCGTCATGGCGGCGGCGGCGGGCCCGGCCCCGCCCCCCGCGGCGCGGCGCGGGTCACCTGACCGGGCTGCGGGCTCGGAGCCGCCGGGAAGCCGCCGCCGCCGCCGCCGCCGCCGCCGCCCCGCAGTCCGCGCCGCCGCCGCCGCCCGCAGCCGCCCCGCGATGCCGTCGGAGAAGACCTTCAAGCAGCGCCGCAGCTTCGGTGCGTCGGGCGGGCGCGCGCGGGTCCGAGCCGGGGTCCGAGCCGGGGTCCGAGCCGGGCCCCCGCGGCGCCTCGGGCCGGGCCCGGCGGGCCTCGCGTCCGCCTAGTGGCCGGTGCGGACGTGACCCGGCGCCGAGCCGGGCCGCGGGGCCGAACCGGGCCGGGGCTGCCCGCGGGGCCGGGCCGGGGCTGCCCGCCGTGTCGCGCTGGCCGTGCGCCTCGGGCCGGTCCCGGCACCCGCGGGACCCCGAGCACTGGGCCGGGAGTTGGGCCTGTGTCCGTGTGTCCCGGCCCGGCTGTTGCGTGCTCAGCTCAGGGCGGGGGCCGCGGGGGCTTGAGGCAGGTGGGCGCGGAGCGGGCAGCCTGGGCGCTGCCGGGTCCAGGGCCCGGGCCGAGGCCGCCCCGCCTGCCCCCCGCCCGCCGCCGGCCTCCGCCCGGGTTGGCAGGAGGTGGCCCGCCGGCCTGGCCTTGAGACCCCGCGTGGGCCCTGGCCTTGCAGACCCCAGGTGGCCGAGCCCCGGCCGGCAGGGCGCCCACGCCGCGGGGGGCTTCCTTGGGCCGGTCGGGCTGGGGAGAAACGGAATCTGAGCCAGGAGTCGGTTCGGCAGCGCCTCTTTCTGGACTCCTGTTCGGAACTTCCGAAGTCCGAACCGCGTTGGCACGAGCCCGGCACGCGCCTGGCACGCGTGTGCGTGGGGCCGGGCGCGGGTCTAAGCGCTGCTGGCAAGACCCCCGCCAGGGAGGCTCGCGCAGGGCAAGGTGCTTTCCGAAAACCTTCTTGGGAAGTCGTCACTTGTGCCCCGATGGGCGGGTAGGACGTGGCCATCAGAGCTGGGCCGGGTGGGCCTGTCCCTCTGTCCCCGAGGACACTCGTTAAAATATAAATGCGCGATTGCAGGGACAGGGAGAACGCTGGGACGTTCCAAAAGCTACTCAGCAATGGGCTTTTGTCTTGTTTTGTTTTGGGGCCACATCCAGCAGTGCTCGGGGCCACTCCTGGCGGGCGTAGGCGCCCTGTGTGCTGTTAGGGACGCACCAGCTCTGCCAGGTCAGCCCTGTGTAGGGCCCGAACTTTCACCCCCTCCGCTGCCCCAAGGCTCAGGCTTAGCCCTGCCTCTGTGCTCCGGGGTCACTCGCAGGCCTCGGGGGACCATGTGAGGCTCGGGGATGGGATGAGGGTTGGCCCCTAGGACAACCCCCCCTTCTGTGCTACTGCTCTGGCCCCCAGACTTTGTACTTGAAACTTCCGTTTCTCTTGTGCAGAGGGTTCAAAACTCAAAACCGGGCGCTCTCCCACACATTCCTTTCTCCGGGCGGTTCATCTAAGCCAGGATCGAAGGCTAGGGTGGTCCAGGAGCACTGCCTGGAGGAGCATGCCCGTGGTGTGTGAAGGATTTCTGTACTGACTCCCACAGCAAGAGTCATCAAGATGGGCAGGTGGGGAGTCGGCTGTGAATGCCCCCCGTGCCACAGCCCAGTTCCCGGGGCGTCCCCTGCTCCGTCTCTGCCCTGCGGGACCCCGGTGATCCGTGATGGCCTGAGCTGGGAGCTGAGCTCGGCCATCAGTCTTGGCTGTCGCTTGAACCACCCCGACAGCCGCCTCTCCCTTCCCTGCAGAGCAAAGAGTGGAGGATGTCCGCCTCATCCGGGAGCAGCACCCCACCAAGATTCCGGTAGGTGGGCAGGGCCTGCCCCTGGAGCACTGTCGCTCACCAGGCGTTCCGGGGTTAGTTCCGGAGCTGCCATGCAGTGCTCAGCTCAGGTGAGGCTGAGAGGAGCCGGCAGGGTGCTGGGGGTCTCGGGCCAGCCTTGTGCAAGGAAAGTGCCCTCCGCTGTACGGGCTCTCTGAGCCCCAGATTAAATTTTTTCTCCCCATTTTCGAGGACTGGAGCAGGTGAGGTGTTTACTTTGCACACGGCCAACCCAGGTTCGGTCCCCTGAGTCCCAGCAGGACATTCATGTACTGGGGGGCTTGGAGCCACTCCTGCAGAGTTCGGGACAGTGTGGTGCCAGCAGCGGCCTCAGGGGGTCCCTGTGCTGCCTCTTCTGCTGCTCTGAGGTGGATTTGGTGGCTCTGGAGACGGGAACCGGCTGCAGCATGGCTGCCAGCTTGCGGGGACCCACCGTGGGCCGGTGTCCACCTCTTGGACCGGGAGAGCGCTGAGGGCGGCGCCCATCCGGCTGACGGTGCTGGCGCTCGGGTCAGTGGCGTCGCTGTACCTCCTTTCTGGCCCCTGCAGGTGATCATAGAACGATACAAGGGGGAGAAGCAGCTTCCTGTTCTGGACAAAACCAAGTTCCTCGTCCCCGACCACGTGAACATGAGTGAACTCATCAAGATAATCAGGTATTTCACCACCTCCTGGCTCTGTGGGCGAGTGACCTCCGCGGATGGCACGTGCGCTGCGGTCGCCTGCCTGTTCCCTCCGCCACCCACGACTCACTGCTCCACGTTGTTTTCCTCAGACGGCGACTACAGCTCAACGCTAACCAGGCCTTCTTCCTGCTGGTCAGCGGACACAGCATGGTGAGCGTGTCCACGCCCATCTCCGAGGTGTATGAGCGCGAGAAGGACGAGGATGGCTTCCTGTACATGGTGTACGCCTCGCAGGAGACGTTTGGGGCCGAGCCGCGGGTGTGAGGCGGGCCTCCACGGTTCGACCCAAGCCACGGAGACAGGGATGGCACTGGCGGGGCCCAGCCACCAGCCACGGACCACCCGGCCGCAGCATTTCTGCCTAGGAGTTTAGGAAGTCTCTTGTGTGCTCGAGCAGGAAGCCTGAGCTCAGATGAGCACCTCACGCTTTGGAAGACTTATTATTTAACTCAGCTGTCTTGTTTTCAAAGTTAGACGTTCAGAAATAAAGTACTTTGCCTTTCAGTTGCCAATACGTAGGCCTTCCAGTTCTTTCCATGCTCCTCCCACAGAGACCTGCAGCTTGAGGGTTGAGCGCGGCCTCAAGTATCTTCTCAAGAGGGCAGAGAAAGGCCGCTGGACCCTCTGGCCATCAGGCCGAGGCCCCGAGCCCCCACTAAGGCCCAGTGTAGGGGAGGCCCCCACGAGAGCCTGCTGCCCCTCCTCTTGGGCTGTGCCTCCCGGGGCGAGCGCAGAGGCCCTCGCTTCTGGGTTCCACGCCGGGTGACTGATGGCACAGGTTCAAGCGTATTCTCTGTCACTGGGGGGGACCACTGAGCCCCTTGATTAGTGCACATCCGCTGTGAAGAAACCCCAGCTGAGACAGAGCTGAGCTTGGCCACCTCCTGCCTGGGACCCACATTCGGTTTCGGGGGGGTCTCCCGGAGAGCCCGAGTGGCTTCAGCTGCGGTCAGACGACCGGCGTGTGAGCCGTCTTCCGTCGCCACGTCAGCCCGCCCTGCTTAGATGGACTCCTCAGAGCCGGCCGTGCGACTACAGCGCCCAGAGTCCCAGGAGAACCCTGCTGAGCGGGGATGGCCCCCAGAGGGAGCAGGCTACTTCGAGATCGGTGTTGGTTGGGGAGCAGGGCTCGGGGATCACTCCTGGCGGGGCTCCGGCAGGCCAGGGAGGGTGCTGGGGCTTGAGCCTGGGTCGGCCACTGAGGCCAGCGCCCTTCCCGATGGAGTAGCCTCCAGCCCCATCATTTCGAGTTTTAAAACAAGGGGGGCTTTTGCATCTTTAAAGCAAGACGTTTCTCACAAACTAAGGTGAACGGGCGGGGGCACTAGAAACTCACCCGGACTTGCTTGGTCAGTGTGAGGCCGTGGTCACCTGGTGGACAGCAGCGGCCTGGCTCTCTGGTGTGGGATGGTCACGTGGCAGGACAGCACAGCTGAAGGTCTGTGGTGGGTCACGGGCACAGTTAACAGATAGCAGCTGCCGGGTGGCTAAGGAGCTCCGTGGGCTGACAGAGGTGGGCAGATCGCTTCGGGCTGAGAGTGCAAAGACCCAGCAGGCTGGAGCCAGCACAGCTATTGGCCTCGCACGTGGCCAGGCCGGGTTTGATTTCCCAGCACCCCATTCGGTCCGGAGCCCACCAGGAGTCGGCCCTGAGCACCCCTGGGTGTGGCCCCTAAACCAAAAAAGAAAACTGGCCTCTGGCTCAAGCCTCCGCCGGCATCTGGGTGTTTGTGGAGCCGGCCCAACCCCCAGCTCCACCCCGGGCCCCCCGCTCCGTCACCACAGGCCAGACCCAACTGAGGGTGTGGGGAGGCAGACACAGTGAGAACGCGCCCGAGGATGGGGGACGTTCCTGCCGATCTGCCCGAGGCTGTGGCGTTCAGAGACGCCTGTGCAGCCGTGTTCGGCCAGGTGCGGGGGGGGCGTGTGTGGTGCGTGTGCGCACGTGCGCGCATTTCCCTTACGCCCAGGGAATGTCACAGAATTCGGCTGGGTGGGCTTACAGCCAGGTGTGCCTTCTGTGGGCTGGAAGAAGGCAGAAAGGGTTGATTCCAAATTATTGTAATTTATTTGGGAAAATGTGCTTCATTTTCTGTGACAAATAACCAAGGAACAGCTTTTTTTTTTGTTTTAATTTTCAGTACATTAAATTTACTCATAAAAACATTCTAAAAATGTACAATTTTTTTAACAAAGTATAATAAAACATAAAAACCCCAAAAACAGAATACTTGACATTTACAATTCAAAATCAAATTAGCAGAATATTAAATATTTACAAAACTATATCTCTTAAAAATATTTATAAAGTTACATGCAATCTTGTAGAACTGACTGACGTGAAAGAATGGCTCAAGAACGGCGCTGCTTTCCTTCATTCCTAAAAAGTCTGTCCACAGAAACTGCGAAGGCTCCAGCCAGAGTCCTGTTCGGGCACAGCCGGGGACTGGCACGGGGCCGCAGACTCCCGGCCCCTTCCTGGCAACGTCAGGGCCCGCTGGCCTCAGCGGAGGGCTCGTCCGAGATGCTGGGACCTCGGCAGATGAGGCTGGGAAGGCCCCGAAGGTGGACGGGCTGAGCGGGGCCCAGCTGACCCTGCGGAAGCAGAAGTGACCGGGCAGGAGGGAGCGGCCACCTTCGGGCTCGTGCCGTGCCGTGAGTCCCAGCAGGGCGGGCACCCTCACCGTGCAAATGCCCAGTCTCCCGCCGTCGCTCCACGCCGGCTCCCTCTCCCTCCGTGCTCCTTGGCAACGAGGAGTTTGGAACACTCAGACTTTCCGATTTTCAACACTAAACCAGGAAATAATCACTAGAAACAAGGTAGAAAATGGAGGGTTCGCTTACAAACAAGAAAAGGGTCAACAGTTCTGCCCCACTGCCCCCGTGGGTCTGCACATTCCACCGTCCCTGTTCCCAGAACTGAGAAGGAGGTAGGCGGGGGTCGGGTCTGTCCAAAGGTCTGAGCAAGGGGCACCGAGCTCACCCGGGGCTCTGGAGAACCAACGATGGCGAGCAGCTGGGCTGGGCTGGGGTGGCGTGTGCCCGCGCGTGCCCCCACCGCTCCCGAGGCCCTGGGCGCGCTCGCTTCAGTCCTGGTGGCATTTTCCACCCACACGTTCCTCTTCCTTCGTTGTACTGGACGCCAACCTCTGGTATAACCACAGCAGAAGAGAAACGGCAGATACTCATTCCCCAATACTGACCACTGGAACAAAAAACCTAGGTGTTTTTTTTTCTCGTCGTGAGATAGTTTTCAACAATTTCACTGTTGAAATAGGATTTATTTAAAATATTTCTTTGTTTAAAAAACCAAAAAATTTAAAAGTTTGGCTCTCAGCACATATCCAGGCCACCGTTAATGGCCTTCAGAAATATTAAAATCGTAAACATCAGCAAATACTCTAAATCTTCCTTGAACATATGCAACAAGTTCCAATCAGGTACTCTTTAAGGCAAAGTTGTGTCACATCTCACTAATTTGACATTTTGTCTGTCTCATCATTCACAAGATCAATGTGACATCCCCCCAAGCCGCTGCCCTGCCCTTCCTCCCAAGCCCTGACACCGTGTGTCGGGACGCCAGAGACACAGGCCCGCCACTGCTGTATTGCATAGAAATAAAATGACTGAAATAAAATGAAAACACTCCACTAAAAGCCTTTCACAAAAAAACAAAAGCAACCAGTTTCCGCTCTCGGTTCCGCAAAGCCAGGCAACCTCTCAGAATCTGAGGCCCATCGCAGGCCTCGGGGCCCGGCAGGCTCCTGACTTGACCTCTGGCAGGAGGCTGATTGTCCCACTGAAGAATGTTCTGGATCGTGACTTTCTTTTTCTAAGCATTCCACTAGAAAAATCCCTGGGCAAGGTCTTCCCAGTCAGTATTTTAATATCGAAGGCTTTTAGCATCTAAAGTAACATTATTTGACCAGAAAAATTCCCTTTAGCCTTGGAGATGGAAGCCCCGTTCCGGACCACGCAGCTCTCCCGCCGTGGGGGCCAAGGCCGGGGGCGAGCTAGACTCGCCAGGGGCCGCCCTGCCGCTGCGGCCTCTGGCCGGGCCTGACCACCACCCGTGGAGTCTTCCTGGTCCTCTGAGGCGGGACAACTCTTCACGGCCTCAGAGGCGAAGCTGACAGGAGAAGGCCCCTCCGACTGCAGTGGTCAGTGTTCAAGCGTCAGTCTGGGTGACTGGCAAGTCCTGGAGGTCCGTGGGGGATGAGGGCACAGCCCACTTTGCTGAGGACGATGAGCTGCGTTGCTCCCGCGAGGGCCCGGTGACCCCGAGGTCTGAGGACGTGGGACTCGGACTTGGACCCTGAGACCCACAGGTGCTGTGAGCAGCTGTGTCTACGGAACGATAGGGTCAGGTTGTACTGGCAGAGAAACGTCTTCCAACTGGAACTGCTACTAGTGCTTCTGGGGAGGGCATCTGGGGGTCCCTAAATGTCTGCTGGACTAGGAGGACACGTAGCCTGCTGGTGCCGACTCTTTAAAAAGGGATTCTCTGAGAGCTCACGCTGCGGAGACTGGCGGGGGTCTACCAACTTCTGCAGTGCGCCCCCGGGAGCCCACCACTTCCGGAACAAGACGGAACCGCGACGGCGCCGTCCCTGAGCTGAGCGGGCCGGGAGGTCTCCCACCTTCAGCCCCGAGCCCGCCTCGTAGCTGCCCTGGAGCTGCGTGAGCCTGGGGCCGTCGAGCCCACCCGCTAGGCGAGTCCTGCCATCCAGCTCTGACCAGGGGCTGGCAGTGCCCAGCAGGACGCTCGCCCGTGCCAGGCCTCCAGCCAGTCCAGTGAAGTGAAGCACCTTTGGGATAAGAAGAGGGAGCGAGAGGCAGCGCTCCTCAGTCTGTGTTCAACCTTCCTCGAGTCCCCATGGCGAGGAGGAAGCGTCAGTCTGTGGAGTCCAGACTCTCGGCTGGAGGCGCGTATTTCAACCTGAAAGTACCTGCAGAGAAGAGAGACCGTCTCAGCGGGGCCCGGCCACAGCAGCCGGCCACGGCAGCACACGCAGCTGCCCGCGGCCGAGTCGCAGCCCTCTGAGCGGAGCGCCAAGGTGGCAGTGGCCAGACGAGTCCTATTCACCCGCAAACCCAGCGGCAAGAAGCAGACTCAGTGAAAGATGACGAGAAGCCCCAGCCCCGCGCTGGAGACAAGCGGGCAGGGAAGGGAGCGGGAGGGGGGCACAGTACCAGGTACAGGGCGTCTGGCACCAGGCGACAGCCACAGAGGAGGGGCCGCCTGCAGCCTGGGCGAACGCTGGCGGGGAAGGAACTCACAGGCCCAGGCCGGGGGCACAGCCGGCCCCTTCCCTGCCTTCCGGTCCCACTGCGGAACGAGCGCCAGGGGCCGTGGGGACAGCCGCGCCTGGCCGGCCGAGGGGGCGGTGCGGGCCCCCGTCCGCCTGCGCCCGGCGGCCTTTACCTTGCCGGTTGAAGTCCATGGACGGCTGCTTGCAGTCCTGCGCGCGGTGGCCTGTGGCGCCACAGTTGTAACACGACAGGTTGCCGCTCTTTTTGTGGCCAGAGCCGTTGCTGGTGCCCACCAGTCCCTGGGCCTGGTACATGCCCGCCCCCACCAGGAAGCTGCGCATGGGCGGCACCGCGAAGGACGACTGGCCCCCCAGCACCGGCTCCGGCGCCACGCCGCCCCCGTAGGGCGAGTGCACGGCGGGGAAGGCGCCGCTGCCGTACTGCTGCGCACCCACATAGCCGCCACCGCACACAGGGCTGAAGGGCAGGAAGGGGAAGGGGAAGACCGAGGGCCCGGAGAAGGGGTGCTGGAAGTAGTTGGCGTAGCTGACGGTCAGGCCGCTGGAGCCGCAGCTGCCGCTGCAGCCGCAGGAGGTACAGACCACGCAGCCGGGCGGCGGAGCGGGCGCGGGCTGCGGCGGGGCGGGCGCGTGGTGGTGGTGGTGGCCCTGGCTGGACGCGGCCAGGTTCCCGGGGGAGCCGCTGCCGCCGCTGTAGAAGCTGCTGTCGGGGGCAGAGGAGAGCGCGGGGCTGGAGCTGGGCGCCGGGCCGCTGGGCGCCGAGGCCATGCTGGAGAAGGAGGCCGGGGCGTGGCTGCTGGGGGCGGCCGAGCCGCTGCCCGTGCAGAAGCTGCCCTGCAGGGCGCCCATGGCAGGGAAGGCGGCTTTGGTGCCGGCCGTGTACAGAGCCGTCCGTGGGGGCACAATGGCCGGGGGCACGCTTATCTGCACACTGTTCGAGGCGGCCGACTCGGCGGGCACAGACGCCGACACCAGCAGCTTGACGGGCGGCCGGGCCACGTGGAAGACGGCGCTGGCTGTCCCCGAGGCCGCACTGCTGCTCTCCGTGCCCAGGACAGGCGGGGCCGCGGGCTTCAGCACTCTGTCCAGGGCCGTGGCGGGCAGGACCTTGGCCCGGGGCCCAAAGGAGACGGTGGCGGGCACAGAGCTGCCCTCGGCGAGTCCGGAGAGGACCTGCACGGGCTGGTGGGAGGCGGCCGTGGGCAGCACATCCAGCACGGCACTGCCGAAGCCCTTGTCCACTTTCAGGCCGCTCCTCGGTCCCGAGACCTTGCCCCGGTCCTCGAGGGCCAGCAGTGAGTGCACCGAGGCCGGGAGGAGTTGCGTGTCGGCGCTGCCCCGCTCGGCCTTGTGCACGGAGCTCAGCATGCGCAGGGGCGCCAGGTGGGAGGCCGCGGGCAGCAGCGGCGGCGCCAGGGGCTGGTGGGCCGGCGGGTTGGAGCTCGCCTCGTTCTGCACGGGGAGGACCTGGGCCGTGGGCCTGGTGGAGGGGGCAGCGAAGTGGCCGAGCAGCGTCACGGGCTTCTCCTTGTCGCAGGCGCCCTCCAGGGGAAGCTCCACACCTGGACAGGGGACAGCGTCAGCACGGTGGCGCGGGCGGGGCGGGGGGGTTGGGCGGGGGGGGCCCGACGGGCAGCCTTACGTCTTTCGTTCTCCTCGGCGCTGTCCGAGCTCTCCTCCCGGGCCTGCACCCCCATGGGGCTCGGGGAGGAGCTGGAGCACTCGGACGAGCTGCCTTCCCGCGCGGCCTGGTGGGGGGGCGGCTCCACCTCCACCCGCAGCGCTGCGGGAGACAGGCACGGCTGCAGGCCCCGGCAGCGGAGGGCGACCCGGACGGTCTCTCGGGACGCCCGGCACCCCCCGGGCCTGCTTCCGATTCTCCCGCACCCTCTGCTCCCAGGACACTCACCGGCCGCGGGGCTGCCCCCCCGCACAGCCTGCACGGGGCCCACGTGGCTGGTGGGGGGCACACGGGCCACGCCGCTGCTGGCTGGGGGCGCGGTCGAGGGGTTCAGGCAGCGCTTCTCCGACTTCTCCCTGCGCCCGGCAAGCAGGAGGGAGTGAGGCCGAGCCCGCGGCCGGGACACCCGCCCTGCCCAGCGCCTCACTTACTTCTCCAGCTCCAGCTGAGTCTTGAGCTTTTTCTTCGCCCCCATGGTGAGGGATTCAAATTTGTTCAGATCTTCCTCAGTGAGGCTCAGAAACTTCACGGAAGAGATGAGACACAGTTACCACAAGGCCACACACGATCAGAGGCCTCGGAGCTGCACGGGACGAACGGCCCCTTCCCAGACAGGGGCACGGGCGAGGAACGGGAGCGGCTGTCACCAGCCGGACACACGGAGGACCAACCGTGACGCTGGACGGCTCCCGGCCTGGCCTGTTTCTCGCCCGCCCGGGCAGCCCCTCTGCAGATGCCCACCTCCACCTGCTCTCTGTCTAGAGAACACGCGGGACACATGACCGTCACTGGGGTCCTCAGGGTTCAGACACAAAACGTGTCTGGTCTAATCGGTCTGTAAAGACCCCCGCACTGTGCAGGGGAGCCTGACTGCGGACGTCCGCATACACAGGCAGGGTGCGGGCCGGAGCTACCGGGCAACATCTCCCTCCCTAGCACCAGCTGCCCCACACACTACCCCTCCGCCCAGCGGACCTGGCACAACGATCACGGGGGCGGGTGGAGGGGAATGGCAGGGCAGGGCTTTGGGAAGAGGGCGCGGAACCAGTGCCTATGGCCTCTGCCCCTAAGGCTGCGGCCGCGGCAACCTGGCTCGTTTCTGCACTGCCAGCTACCAGCAGACACGGCTAGACCGATGGGCTGCATCTCCAGCGTCACGTCCGGCGTCAGCGCCTCCAGCGGGGCAGGGCAAGGCGGAACCCGTGCCCCAGACACACCTTCTCCATCGTGAGCTGCTTGAAGACCGGGTAGTACTTGTGTAGACGCAGCTTCCGCAGCCAATCTAAGATCCCGTTCTGCTCCTGGGCTGGGGCGGGCTGCAGGCCGGAAGGCATGAGGAGGGCGGGCGAGGCGTCCATCTGCGCTCGGTAGGCCAGCGTCGCGCCAGGAGGCCCCGCGTGCGAGCAGTGCGGCACGGCCGCCGCACTGGCCGTGTGCTGCAGGTGGTGCTGGGTGCTGCTCGGGGCCGACGGGATCCCGGCCACGCCACACACGGGCCTGTGGGCGGGCGGCAGAGCGTTGGGCTCGGCTGCCGCACCACACCAGGGCTCGTGTCCGTCCCCCAACCCCTGCCATGCCAGGCTCAAGGTCCAGGGCTGTCTGCACGTGTCAGGAGGTGTGCCTGCATGTGATCACACGTCATGTACCAGCGGACGTGTGCTTATGCGTGTGCACATACATCTGCATGTGTGTCTGCGAGTGTATCGGTGTGCGCGGTCTGTGCCCGTGTCTGAGCAGGCGTCAGCAGGCCTGCTGGCAGAGGGTCTGCTGTGGAGGTGCACACCCTCCCTTCCTGGAGGCAGCCCGAGGCCAGGTCCCCTGTGGGACGGCTCCCCAGGCGAGAGGCGTTTCCTGCACTCTGCTTCTGGGTGAGGGTCAGCCCCGGCCCCCCTGCTGGCCCCAGAGGCCCCGCACCCAGACAGACGGGCACGGAGCAGCCGCTCACCTCCCAGACGCGCCCACGGTGGTGCCGACTTTCGCGAGGGCCGGGGTGCTGGGGCCTGCAGGAGAACAAGGACCATCACGCTGGCGGACAGGCGCCCGGCCCGCTCGCCCGGCCACACACTCACTTGGACTTTGAAGCTGTTGGGCGGGAGACGAGGTGCTGAAGAAGCCCCTGGCGTGCTCGTTCCGCAGGACATGGGCTGGGAGTGAGGTCAGACACCTAGAAGCAGGCAGGGACTCAGGAGCCCGGGCGCGGGTGGCAGGGACCGTCTCGCTCCCCTTTCGCCGTCCCGGGGCTCACAAGCCCTGAGGGGACTGCGCAGCTCCGAGGGTCGCTTGAGCCCAGGTGGGCCGCGGGGTGTCGGCCCCCTTCCTCAGGAGACCACCCAAGCGACAAGGGGGACGCCGGGCCGGCCCACGTGGCAGGGCCCTAGTGACCACGTTACCTCAGGTCCGCCTCCAGGTCCATGTGGTTCCGCTCTCCGTAGAAGGAGTCCGCGCCGGCCACACAGGGCGGGAACTTCTCCAGGCTGTCCTCAGGATGGAGCTGCGAGAGCTGCGGGGTGACAGCGAGGAGGGTTGTCGGCCAACCCACACAGGACGCCATGGGCGCCACCTGCTCACGGTGGTCCCGGGACCCCCGCCTGAGTTCCCAGGAAAGGCTCAGTATCCCAGGAAGTGCTCAGGGCCCCGAGCAGGATCGCCAGAAAGCAGGTCAAGGGGCCGGGGAGGGAGGGGTCGGGGGCCAGGACAGAGGAGGAAAGGGGAGGGGAGAGGAGGGGAGGGGAGAGGAGAGAAAGCGTGGGAGGGCGGGGAGGGAGCAGCTGCGCCCACGCGCAGGTGCGGCATCAAGGGCGTGACCTGCCCTCCTGGTGTCCTCGTGGGCAGCGAGGGGTGTGGAGACGCTGGTGGGAATGCTGGCAGGAGGCACTGCGGGAGGCAGCCTTGGGCCTTACCTTTGAGACAAATTCAGTCACTTCCGAAGAAGATTTGGTTACTGACGTTACTGAAGAATCAGACCACAGGACCTTGAACACAAACAAACCGACCATCTTAGAAGCAGACCACACACCCCGAGAGCCAGGCACGGCGGGAGCAGGACAGGCTAGGGGCACGGCTATCCCTGCGGACACTCGAGCATGGCTGCCGCGTGCCTGGGAGAGGCAGACACTGTCCCAAGGGCCAGACGCCCTGCCGAGCACCGTCCCCCCCCCAGGAAAGCCGAACCCTGACTGGAGAGCAGCTCTGGAGGCTCACGGGGCCAGCAAGCTGTCTGCCATCTCCAGACGGGCCATCCCCATCGGCCCTAGTGACCACCAAGGTGACCTTCAGCAGCTGACCAGGGACAAGCCACCCCAAGGCCGGCTCCCAGCCACTGCTGAAGGGGAGTGGGCTCCCAGGCCACTTGGTACAGCAGGGAGGGCATCTGCCTGCACACAGCCAACCTGGATTCCATCCATGAGCACTGCTGGGCCTTGTGGTGGGTTCATCTCGGGAGACTCTCTCCTCTCCCTCACACGCCTGGCCGCGGCCTCTGCACAGCACAGGCCTCCCTGCAGAACCGCGCTCGTCTCCCTCACTCGCCTCCGACCCGGCGCGGAGGGTGGGCTGCAGGCCTCCCCCAGACTCGGCCGGCACACGAGAACAGAACTTGGCCCTCCAGAGGCGCACCCCTTGGTGCTGAGTTGGGGGGGTTATAAGGGCAAAGACACAGCGGCCCAGGAACATCCCCCACCCCCCGCCCTGCGGGGACAGCCCCAGACACAGCTGCCAGGACTGTGCCTCCCCAGGGCCTTTCCTGTCCTGTGCTTTCCAGGGTCTTGAGTCACCCTGCAGTGCTCTGGGATTACTCGATGCAATGCCGGGGAGTGAATCTGAGTGGGCCACATGCAAGGCCACCCTTCCCTGTCCCGTGTCTCTGGCCCCAGACCAACCGCTACAGGCAAGGGACAAGCCCAGACAGAACAGGGGCTCAAGAGCAGAGGCAGGAAGGGACCTCGGGTAACACCGGGCCCAGCCCAGGCCGAGTGGCAGAGGTGAAAACCGGCCTCAGGCCCTCAGAGTGGGAGTCTAAAAGAAAGAAGGGTTAGCAGGGGCGAGGGGAAGAGTGCGGACACTGGAAGGCAAGTCTGCCACAGAGACCACCCTAATGTGCGCCCCAAGGTACACTGCAGGGAGCGCAGACACACCCAGGGCCGGAGCGCGAGGCTCCGAGTTCAGTTCCAGGGCAGTGGCCCGTGGCCCTCTGAGCCCACCACCTCCCAGGAGCGGCCCGAGTGGCCCGAGGCCCCGGGCAGGAAAGGACAGCATCAAGGGCTCCACACGGGTCCTCGGCCCTGCTGGTGTCTTGGGGACTCTGCAGGGAAGGAACCCTCTTCATTCCAAAGGCAGATGGGGCCAGAGCCACAGGACAGTGGGGAGGGCCCTCCGGTTTAGTCCCCGATACGCCATCTGGTCTCCCAGCCCACCGAGTCCTGAGCACCACTGGGTATGCCCCCTCAAAAGCACACACATAACAAGTGGAAATTAAAAGACGACAGTTCTGCAAAGGGGTTCGAGGAAACTCCACGTTTCCATATCCGCTTTTCTCTTTTGCTGGTTCGTCCTACTCAGTGCTCAAGCGACACCGGGAGATTGTTCAGGCCCACGGCGGGCCCCCAGGGGATGACTCTGCCCTTCCAGGAACCCCCCAGTCTCAGAGAACAGCCAAAGGGCCTTCGAGACGCCCAAGTCGGACAAACCCGTCCCCCTTGGCACTGCCGCCCCTGTGGCGGTCTGCGACAGGAAGGCTCGATACAGGACAACAAAGCTAGAGCCAGCTCCCAGGGCAGGAAACTCCAGCTCTGGCTGCAGAGCATCTGCGTCTCCTGAAGTCCCCTCAGTCCACAGGACGCCGCCCTTCGCCCTGACTAGCACTGACTGTGGCGCTCCGAGTAGCCGCTTCCAAATACGAAGGACAACTGAGGGGCCGGAGCGACGGGCTGCGGGTGGCTCACCTGGTTCAATCCCCGCCCCCCTGATGGTCCCTGAGCCACCAGGAGTGATCCCTGAGTGCAGAGCCAGAAGTCAGCTCTGAGGACACGTATGTGCACACACGCGCACACACACACACACCTGAAGCACACACATACACACATACGCACACGCGCGTGAGACTGAGCCTTGAGTCAGGGATTGTTTTTGCTTTGGGGGGCTTTGGGTCACAACAGTACTCAGGACTTCCCCTGGCTCTGTGCTCAGGGATCACTCCTGATGGTACACAGGGGACCAGACGTGGTGCTGGGGATGAGAAGCAGGTAAGCTTCACCCCCCTATGCTACCGGTCATTCTGGCCCGATAATGTCAGGAAAAGGAAACGGTTACTGGTCAGCTTGCGCCAAGTATCGACCTCACAAGGAACTGCCTCTCTAAGGGGCACAGCTGGGAGGCTGCGTGTGGGTTCAAGCCCAGCACCACAGGTGTCTGCAACGCAGGGCACCATCAGAGCGCATACACACCCCGTCTCTCCCGCTGCGCCAGGGGATTCCGGCAGTGTGCTCTGTTTGGTCCTGGCGGGCTCCCGGCCTTCCTGTGAAGGAGAGCAGGCCGCACCTCCCTGCACAGTCACAGTCACGGCATTCGCACGCAATCTTTGTTGTTCGGGGGGCGACACCGGCGGTGCTCAGGGATCACTCCTGGCGGGGAGCTTGGGACCCGCTGTGCTGCCGAGGATGGAGCCGGGCGGCCCGTGCACAAGGCCAGCGCCCGGCCCACTGTGCCAGACGTGTGGACACGAGCTTCCCTCTCCACGGGAGGGGCGCACAGGCATGCACTGCGGCGAGTCCACGTTGCTAAGAAAGTGCTTCCGGGCAGCCGGGCCAGCACAGACTTCGCCAACACGAGGGGTCCCGGGCCGGCTTTGAGCACTGCAGGGATCAGACCCGCAGGCGGTCCTAGAGCCCCATCCCCGTCCTTGCGGTGGCCAGCTGAGGACACTAAGGTCCACTCCCAGGGCACCCAGCATATGCGTCCCCTGGCGGTGCTGCTCCCTCATCTTCCTTCCTGAGCTCCATGCGTTTTCCCTGTTCCTCGGCCACAGCCCAGCGCCTGCGAGACCCCTGGCGCGAGGGTGAGTGAGCACCAAGGGGCCAAGACAGGGTCTCTGCTCACTCGGTCACCACCTTCCTTCATCTGCTTCCTTTGAAAGGTCACGTAAGGGTGACACTCAGATTGCTTCCGGGGCAGGGCTCGGTGGGGTGGGGCCGGTTGGGCATCCGCAGGGGGCGCAGGGTGATGTCTCGCGCACCCCGCTCCTCCCGGCAGACTGCAAGCCCATGGCGGAACGAGGAGGCAGAGGGTGGGTGGGACACGCTTCCCAATACCTGACCACCCATCGCTGTCAGAACCCGGGGACTGGGGAGGCCGAGCTGGAGCACAGAGAACCTGGGCATGGGACGAAAGGAAGGGGCAGAAGCCACACGAACAGAAAGGGGCCCCACGGAGCCCCCAATCTCAGTGCAGAAGCCGTCAGCATCGGAACTAATGGCTGCCTCCCCAGGGCCGACAAGAAGAGCCCCAGCAAGGCCAGAGCAGAGAGAGCCGGGCCGCCCGAGGGTGGCAGCATCGAATGACATGAGCAGAGGCGACGCTCCGCTCACTGCAGCCTCTCTCTCCGCACAGGGTCCCCGTCCTCCCCGCGCGGGACCCCCGAGCCCGTCCGCGCCCCCCCTCATGCCGCAGAGCCGGGGCCAGCGGGAGGCACAGGCCGGGGTGCAGAGAGCGCGGGGGTCCCCACCGCCTGCTGCCGGCCCTGCATGCCTCCGAGCGAGCCACCGGAGGCCAGTGCCGACCCGTGGCTTTGGAGGAGACCCAGGGACAAGAGCGGAGAGGGCCGGGCGAGAACCACCCAGCCCCAGAACTCTGGGTCCCCCGACAGCACCAAGATGCCCGGAATGTCTGGTGGCAGTCACTGCCAAGCCCCCCAAGCCTACGGCAACTCCCGCTCCACGCACAAGTCTCTGTGGAGACTGAGGCACACGGGGAGCTGCTCCCGGAGAGCCTCTGCCCCAGCAGCCAGGACGCGCCACAGCCGGGCCAGAGCTGGCGACTCAGGTCTCGAGGTGACAGCCAGACAGTCCCGGTGGCAGCGCTCAGTAGCCTGAGGTGCATGTAGATGCAAGCACGTTGCACGCGTGCACACGCGCATGCGCGCACACACACACACAGACACACACACAGACACACACACACAGACACACACACACACACTCCCAAGCTCTTCATACATACACACGCCCAGCTCTTCTCACACACACAACACACCTCAGCTCTTCACACACGCCCCTCAGCTCGCTCTCACTCGTCTCACACTCACACACGCGCGCGTGCTCACGCAGCCCCCAGCCCTCCCTGCAGCTGGGCCTAGTCCGCCTGTCCCGCCGGGTTCCCCACTGCGGACTCCGAGGGAGAGACCCCTGGTCCGGACGCTGTGCCCGACCTCTCCGCAGGGGGTGCGACCCTCCACCTCCTGCGACAGTGACCAGGCACAGGGTCCAGAGCAAGGGGCCCCCGAGGCCCCCCCACCGCCCCAGCCAACCCCACCGTCTGGCACCACAGCCAAGTCAGTCTCTCCCCACGAAGGGTCCCTTCCTGCCCTCAGAGGAGAAAGGTAAGAAAACTTGGCGCCTTACCTCGAAGGAACATTCAACATTCCTTTCATTTTTTGTGTGGGATAGTCCCTTCAGGTCTATCTTTTCAACACTCACTGCAAAAGCAAAAACAACAGCAATGAGCAGAGTGACAGCGATGAAGCAACCCCGAAGTCCAGCTCACGGGCCGCACGCACGCAGGCCGTCCAGGGGCTGGACACAGACGACACGTCGTGTGAGCACTGGGGAGGGAGTGACGGGACGGGGCGCGGGAAGCAGACTCCGCACAGTGGCCGGCGGGAGCCTCGACAGGCCGGCTCCCACGCGCAGGCGACGACCCCACTCCAGGGGTGGGGGGCACATGTGGGCATCACACCTCGGGCCGGGGCGGCCATGACCAAGTCGGTAAAGTGAAAGGCCGCTCCAGAGTGCCCACGTCCCAAAGCCACGCTCGCCTGGGCGGCATTTCTCAGGAGAAGAGGCAGAGCAGGGGAGGGTGCAGCCACAGCAGAAATGGCCCGAAGGACGAGACGGCAGCTCCGTCCACTCGGCCACACGTGGCCCCCCGTCCTCTACCGAGAGCCGTTTCTGGAAGGAGCTTGGGGCGCCCCGGGGGCCGAGACGACCCACAGACAGTCGCAAGGTTCGTCCTGAAATGACTCTGGGTCTTTTGGAGGGTCCCGTGGCAGCCGACCCACTGGAGGGGTCACCAGGGCTGGACCCAGCGGCGCCGCCAGCGAAGCGAGGCCAGCCTTCCCCTGAGGCCACAGATCCTCCCTCCCCCCGCGGGCCCAGCTGGCACTGCCAAGGCGACTGGCACGCTGGCTCACGTGGCCCTGGGACTCCACTCCGGCCTAGAGCTCGGCAGTGCTGTCTGTTGGGGGCCCAGAGGACACACGTGCGGACCAGTCACTGGCGCTCGGCCCCCGGTCCCCTTCCCCAGGGGTGGGGACGCAGCGGGGGCTCCGCAGACGGCCCACGGCCGGTTCTCACCTAAGCTCCTGCCCTGGTAGTCACATGTGGGGGACACTGGAACTACAGAACTCTGTGCTGGAAACAGTTCTCCCAGGAAGAACCGCTCTGAACGAAGAGTGCGTCCTTCCTGGCAGAACAGACATCTTGTCCCCACGCTCCCTGGCCTGCTCGCTCCCCTGCAGAGCGCGGCGAGCACTCTGGCAAGCACCTCCCTGTGGCACAGGCACAGGACCCAGGAGGTCGGACACACGCCTAACGGCCGGGACACCCAGAGGGCAGGAGCCTGAGCCCAGACAGGCGCAGAGAAGGCGGAGCGACTCCATCTGGGCTGAGGTGACAGTCTGCCCAAGTGGGGCCTTCCTGGAAGTCGGCAAACAGGGGAGGCACGGCAGGGAGCAGGGGCAAGGAGAGTCAGGGGAGGGGGCGGAGGCAGAGGCCGGGCGGCTGCCCCCACGGCCTCCGCCTGCTGAGCCTGTGACCTCAGACCTTCCTCTGGGCACTCAAGCACCCGGGTTCTGCGACCAGCCCTGACGCCCGTCCCGTCCGGCAGATGCGGCTTCTGGCGCCAGGAGAGTCGCACACGAGGCTCCGACCCACAGGACACGGGGCTGGCATGGAGCTGTGAGTCCAGCACTGCGAGGATGACGGGCTGGGGACAACTGTGGCCCCTCGATCTTTGGTTCCAGTAAGGCAGCAAGTCCCACAGCAGCCCCTGAATGCCACCTGCCTGGCCCCTCAGCAATCTCACGGGACAATGTCACGCCCAGTAAGACAGCCCGCAGGCGGAAGTCCTGGCAGCACGGCCGGTCCCTGAGGCACCTGAACGAGATCGGCCCCTGGAGCCCGAGCAGAGGGAGGCTCTGCCCACGTCGCACGGCAGAGCCCACCACGCCCCAGGGTGCCCACGCGCGACCACCACCTTTCCAGGGACACTGTGTGTGTACGTGAGGGAGAGTTCTGATTTTCTTCCTGAAAATTGGGCAGACAAGGGTTGGAGCGACAGGGCAGCAGGGAGGGTGCTTGCTTTCCCGAAGCTAACCCAGCTCATTCCCAGGCATCCCACACGGTCCCTGTGCACTGCTACGAGAAATTCCTGCGTGCAGAGCCAGAAGTAACCCCTGAGCAGCACTGCCGGGTCTGGCCCAACCCCCCCCCCAAAAAAAAGCGATCTAGTAAGCAAATAAGCTTGGGAAGTTCTGGCTTAAGGGGCGGGGGGCTGGACGAGCCCAGTGGGAGCACTGCACCCCCGCAGCCTCTGACTGTCCGTGCTGTGCTTGGAATAAGGCCTTCACATCTTCACGTCTCCCCGCTGTCGGGGACGCCACCGTGCAGATGACAGGGAAGGACACTGACCACGTCTCGGAGCAGGCCCAGCCTGAGTCCTCGCCGGACAGCAGGAGCATCACAGCCTGCCCAGAACCAGACAGACCGTCCGCCTGGTGGAACCAACACTGTCAGTCCTCAGATCCTCAGAACTACTCCCTCCCTCCGCTTCCCTGACTTTGTCTCAGTTCTGAGACATTTCTACTCAGAAGGCTCCTCGGCGGCCTCTCCTTCCTGATGGCTTGATGTTTCTCAATAATCACTCACGCTACTTAACAGATTCATTTTAGGGGAGAACTTGTTTCCACCAACAGAAACCCACCTGGCCTCGTCACCGCCTTCAGAGCAAAACCAGAAACAACACGAAAACCTGAGCTGGAACTTCCATTTCCACAAGAAGAGGGGCCTGAACAAGCAGAAAGTCCCCTGGAGGCGAGCCGGGGCGGGAGACACCACAGGCCAGAGCGCCTGCCTCTCTGGGAGGAGCCCCGGCGGCCCCAACACAAACTACAGCACGACTTGAGAGTCAAATTGGTCTCCAGGTGCTGGGAGCACTGCTTGGGAGCACCCCCTCCCCGCAAGAAACCACAAGGCTCAACCAAAGCACTCCATGAGAAGGCACGAGGGGCCCGAGCGAGAGCACCAGAGAGGGAGCCTGCCTGGCACGCGGCCGACCCGGGTTCAATCCCTGGCTCCCCAGATGGGTCCCAGCACCGTCAGGAGTTAGCCCCGAGTGCAGAGCCAGGAGTAAACCCTGAGCACAGTCAGGTATGGCCCCCAAACAACACCAAAGCCAAGAGAAAACAGGGAGAGGAGTTGAACAGACACTGCTGAGAGAGCCAGGAAGAACCACCATCAGGGGCACCTCGCCCAGAGGGGCTGGAGAGCAGAGGGCAGGGACGCCAGGGAACACACGCAGTGCGATCCCCGAGCACCGCCAGGTGGGGCCCCCAACAAATACAGTCAGAAGGCCAGAAACCACAAGTGCTGCGGGACTCAGCGAGAAAGGAGCCCTCGCCCACTGCTGGTGGGGCGTCATCTGCCCCAGCTTCCAAGGACACCGGTTTGGCCAAGCTCAGACTCCCACATGACTCAGTGAGGGTCTGCTCCCTGCGAGCACAGGAGTGTCCACAGTTGGGGCTGGAGCGATAGCACAGCGGGGAGGGCGTTTGCCTTGCACGTGGCCAACCCGAGTTCGATTCCCAGCATCCCATATGGTCCCCTGAGCACCGCCAGGGGTGATTCCTGAGTGCTGAGCCAGAAGGAACCCCTGTGCATTGCCGGGTGTGACCCAAAAAGCCCCCCCAAAAGAAGTTTCCACAGCAGAGACGGGCGCAACATGCGACCAGAAACAGCCCGAGCAACAGGGGCAGAGAAGCTGCTCTGCTCAGCAACAAGGGGGTCCCGCCCTTGGCTACAGCGCGAAGTTGGGGGGTCACAGGAGTCAAGGGAGAGGTGAACACAGGGCACGTCACTGACGTGGGGTGCAAGGGACAAGCCCGGGCTCTCCACCGAGCTCACCAAGTCCAGGGGAGGGAGAGGGGGAGGGAGCCTGGAGGTGGCCAGCACAATCGTGGAGGGTTTGGTACTCTGGTGGTGGTGGAGAGGCAGGAACCCCGGATGCCAACGCCCACGTGCACCCACTGCTGCCACCATGTTATCCCAACTACTGCTAAAACACTCACGGCTTGTGCTTTTTTTTTTTGGAGGGGGTTGTTTGGTCCACACCTGGCAGTGCTTAGGAGACCGTGCGGGCATCAAGCAGAGGTCAGCGGTGTGCAAGGCAAAGGCCGTGCCTCTGGACTTACTCTCGGGATTAAATCTGAGATCACAAATAAATAATTTATCACTAAATAGCTTCGCATTCTAATCTAACCCATCTGGCACTCTGGAAGAACTCTACTCAAAGGGAAACGCCGTCGCAGTCACACTGCTGCTCCAGCCCGTTCCAAGGGATTAGCTGCACACTAACGGTGGGAGGCCAAGCCAGGGCCCACCACTGCCCTTCCCAGGCCGAAGGGCCTCCAGGTGCAGCCTGCGTCTCCGGGGCGGTCTGCAAAGAACAATTAGAGAAGGAGAACAGAGGCCAGAGCGGCAGCAGCTAAACGTTTCCAAGACTCACGAAGATCCATCCTGGCACGACAGCAGCCGAGTGAGCCACACAGTGCGCGCCAGGCAGCATCACCGAACCTACGAGACCGAAGTCAAAGAGCCAAGTACTGCACAGAGTCTCTTGCAGGGACAGAAGCCACGCTTCTGCGCTGCAGACCACTGCAGGGGGAGAGAAACCGAGGCCGCCTTTTGCCAGCAGGCTGCTACTGTCACGAAGGAGTCTCTTCCAGCACCTGGGAACTGCCAGGGTGGATCTGGGCACATCCTGGCCTTGGGTTCAGCCGAATCCGGCACATCCTGGCCTCGGGTTCAGAATCCGGAAGATGGGAAGCGGGATGGGCCAGTGTCTGAAGTGGCCTTTGGCAGGCACAGACAGACACCCTGTGGACCCAGGGCCCTGGCAGCGGGGAAGACTGCAGGGCACTGTGCTTCCGAATCTGCCAGGAAAGCCGAAGAGAAAACACGGCTTCCGGGGCAGGTTTGGGGCAGCGCGCTCGCTCCACGCAAACTCCTCCTTGGCTCCCACGGAGGTCTGCAGGGGCCTGACTGAGTGGAGGGAGGAGAGCGCTGCCGGACGAGGAGGCGCAGGAACGGCCCCGGTCGGCAGCGCTGCTTGAACGACCACAGAACGTAGGTCTGAGCGTGTGTCCACAGGAGCCCGGGGGAGTGACGTCTCCCTGCCCGCGAGCCCAACACTGACAGGGAC